GACAGCGCTCCGACCGCTTGGGAAGCGACAACGACGGCGGTTGCCGCCGTCGCTTACCGTGTCCGTCATTTTCACAGCAAACGGGCCGGTTTATCCGAAGCGGTTTGGATTTATTAAGCCGGTCGCCGCGCACAAACGACGGAGTCTGTGTGCAGTAAGCGTAGGGCAGCCATTTAAAAACGCCTTTTCGCGTTCGGCCTACACTTACGGTGTACGTTGTGAGATTGTCGGGCGAATAAGCGCGTCCGGCCCTAGGACTTAGGTGCAGAAAATCGTGGCCGATACGTCAACGCGGAAAAAACAAAAACAATATCATGTCCATAGATGAAAATGTAAGAAAAAAACAAAAATGTAAAAATTAAAATACGAATATATAAATACCTGGTAGACAGACGTGTGTATATCGGTCGTTCGGCAGTACTGTTGTATTACGTAGCGCGGTGAACAGGGGGTCCACGGCTCTCGACCCGTCGCCCGGTCGCTATTGGTTGATTTTATATAGACCGCAAGAGCCGGCCAATCCGACGGCGTTATTTCGAAATCCGTTGGGCCGCGCGCGAATAATTCATGAGCCAACACACACGAGCAGCACCAGGCCCATAGTATATTACACGGCATGTATACGCGCCATAAGCGTATCTATATATATATTTATATACGTATACTCAGTATACAATATATATACACACATATAATGCACACAACGCAGCTCTTTGTCCCCTTCTCTGTCGCTCCCGACGCCGACGCGTTACATCCATCTCCCTTGCACTCACACGCTTAGCACGGTTCGTCCGCTGCCTACACAGTATACGATTTACGAACACACACACGGTCATGCACGCCGCTTATGTACGCCACACGGCCGTTCTCTCATATTGTCCTTTTTTCCGCCGTTCGTTAGTCGTTACTCGTTACAGCGGCGGCGGCGGCGGCAACGCTCTTTCCCTTCTGGTTCTCCCTCACCCTCCAGAGCACAGTGATAATATATAATATTATAAAATATATGTACCTAAAAAAAAAAGGAAAAATTAACGTACACCACTCGGTGGTGTTGAAATGAGAGAACGTCAATGTATATAAAAAATATAATACGCTTGCGAATATTTTGTACATTGTACAAAGCGCAATTAGACTACGTACGCGATAATTACAAGTACACACGACGACAATAATTATTTTTTATTGTATAATATATTATGGTCTGTAGTATGAACAACATACTAGTGCATGCATGATACTACTACATGTTGACAAAGCTAAGTACGGCCCTACCCGTGTGTACACGGAATTGCCACAGAGCTACGTTACATTTTAATCTACTGCATACCATCGTATAACTTCCAAGTCATTATTATTGATATGCTCACGAAAAAAAGCCAAAACGCTTCAAAATAAAGTTGCTTGCCATTGGCACACGACTCGAATTTACGCCTAACAGATCACTGTGGCCCCGTCCGTTGTCTTATGAGTTATGACCTATGCGAAGATGACAGAAACCAAATGTTCATGGGTTAGGCGTCTGCCGAACAGTCGATAAAACTATTGAATATATTAAATATTTTCACTATGAGATAATCGTTATAATTACTTGAGAAAATGAAATTTATTGGTTACTGTTGTGTCAAACAATCTGAGAGACCGATTTTACTGTAATGACAGTTATCTTTAGGGCATAGGGTCTGAATGTATATTTATTGTGTAGGTTCTTTTAATAATGTATGAAGAAAATCTCGACAAATATTTTCTTTTACAAAGAAAAACCTTAAGTAATTATAATATATAAATATGATTATAAAATAATTTATTGGAAATTAAAATATTTAAAAATTTGAGATTTGAAAAGTAATAAATAGGCGCGTAGCCAGCTGCTAGGAAGGTTTTTTGGGGTTTAAAACACCCCCCCCCCCAGCTATATTTAAGCTAAAAATATATTATATACTAAATGCTTCGGGTTTCTACGAAATCTGTAGTTAGACGATTCTATATTTCATGCTTAGTGTTATTATTATTTATCATTGAAGATTGAATATATACATATATATATATATATATATTATAATTTATTTTACTATTCAATATCAAATACTTGATATAGGAATAACCGTTTCATGTATTACTTATTTTCTAAAGCCAGTAATTTGCTCTGTTCGATAAAACAAGGACATTTTTTTTCTCTCGAGGTTCGATTTACGTTTTTTTTTTGCTAATGTTTTGCATTTAGTTTACCAATTACCATTAAGACTTATGTAAAAAACTCAAGATGAAAATTTAGATCCAACAGAAGCAATAGAGCTTGCATAAAATGTAACAAAAGTAACAACACAGCTAAGAGCTGAAGCTGCAGTTCAGTTTTAAAATATATACAGCGAGGTATTAAAAAAGAGTGAAAAGTTTGATATTGAAATACAAATTCTAAGAATAACTAACAAACAATAGCATAGAACAAGTGTGTCACTAGACTCAAGTTTAGTGTTAATATAGAGTCAGTATAGTGTTATTATACATTCCTTTTTCGGATCGTTTCCTTCAACAATTTTATGACAAGTTTTTAACCTAAACAAATAAATTCTAAGTTATTTTCTAATGATGACTATTCGGCTTTGGATGTACATGCTTTTTGGCCAGATAAAATTATAACAAAACCCGTAAAAAACGTTGTAAACGCTTTAGCTGAATGTATACTACTTGCAATGAACAAATATATCCTTCAAATACAGACTTAATTATTTTAGCTTCATTACCAGCAGGGGCGTAGCCAGTAGGCCAGTAGGCCCGGGCCTACCCAACATTTTCTATATGTATATATAGAAAAAAAAATGAATTATTAATAACTAATAAGAATAATCATTAATAACTTTGTTTATCAATGGTTTATAGTGGGCCTAACCAAAAAAAAAAATTCCTAGCTAGTAGCTACGCCCCTGATTACCAGTTATAACCGCAACCAGCGAGAGATCATTTTTAACGCTCAGACGTTTAAAAACACATGAGAAGTAAAATATGTGAAAATCGACTAAACGATTGGTATTTACCATGACAGAATTATATGTTGAAGAATTCCAAAGTTATGACATCAAGAGTTGCCGCTGTAAGAGTCTGTTAGATAGACTGATATAATTATTATTATAATTTTGTGTTTCTTTTATTATTAAACATTATACAGTAAAATATTTTGTTTTAAATACAATTTGAAAGTTAAATGCATATCATAATTTGTTATATTAAAATATAAAATTAAAACACCACCCTTTAAAAATTCTGGTTTTGCCAGAGTAATAACTAATAACTACTTTATGGATAGATGAAATTTATTAATGAATCAATAGGCATTTAGTGGCTCATGTTTGGTCCATTAAATTTGAATGAACCCATAAATTTAACAATTTTTCGTGGCCCTACGTCTACATAGTAATTATTATCCAATATTCTGATATCTCTGTTAATAAAAATTAAAATACCTAATAATTTTGTATAAAGTGCAGCCCTTGTATACAGTTTATAGATCATAATCAATAAACATTCTAACAACATTTGAAAGTATTCATGAACCGCAATGATTTAATACAATTAAGAATTTATAATTTGGATCATTAGCAATGTACGTATAATTTGTATTATAAATACTCAGGCTCACCTAATTACTCGCCTCTCAATAAAATACTTTTTTACATTTAAATTTCAACATTTTATATTTTGAATTTTAGATATTATTAATATTTTTAATTAATGAAAATATATCTTTTAAAATACCCTTATGGTAACAAACATAATAAATTACTCTTATGTTTACCTATTTGGAAGTGCATAAAGATATTTTAATTTTTATACGATTTTACATTAACTGTGACGGTTTACATTTATATTTTAAACTTGCGGTATAAATATATACTATAGTTAAATACATTTTTAAAAATTTTTAATGCGTTAAAGAACTATGTTCTTTTAAAAACATTTTGCTTTAAAATTAGCAGTTTTGATCCAAGTTTATTGTTATTACTTATTATCTAATTATATTATCAATAGAGTTATTTATTTGATAGAATTATATTACTCGTATTATTTCTAGTTATAGTTCTTGCAAGCATTAAAAACTCGCATACTCATTTTACAATTTTTTCACCCTTATATTATAACAAACTATTTTAAAGTAGCCGACTTACATTGATCCATACCTATACATTGTACCTAGTTATATTATACAAATTAATATTTTTCAATGTGTATTTCACACTAGTTATATAAGAAGTAGTAAGGTTTCATGACTATATTAGTAAATTTTTTAAATTTTCGTACCATAGGCATCAACATATGGAAATTGTAATATTACCATTACTATACTTTACATATTAGTAATCACAGTATTTATTAAAAAACTATAGTTTTATTTTATAATATAAAAATGTATAAATGTAGTAATCATTCAGCAATACGAACATAAGTTATTATTCATACCTACTGCCAATTAGGATAAAGATCCAAGTAAGCTTAAATATTATATAAAAAAAAGAATCATAATTCATTTTTTATTATGATACAATCTGACTAATTATTTCTTATAGAAAAATCATAGTAGTTACTACTTTACAGTTTACTAGTAGTTAATTTTTTAAGTGCAGACAATTGATACCTATTTAAAAAAAAAAAAGTATTATTTTTCTATGTTTTTTAATTAATAATACTTTATTATTTTGAAAATAGGCTAACTTCATTGTGACTATGATTAATGCATAGGGTTTTAAATAAACTTTTGAACAATTTCAAATAAATATATTTTAGCTTCTTATAGTGTGTATAAATCTACTTAATTTTAGAAGAAAACAAATAAATTGTAAATAGTTGTCAGTATTTAGAACATAGCTTTATAAAATTTTCAACATTACCAATACATATTGCATTAAAACTAATGCAGAAAACTTAAATACTAAGAAGAATACACTTTAAAGGTAACTGGCAACTATTAAAAATAGAATATTAATTTAAATTTAAACATAGAATTTATTATTTTTAACTACTTAATTCCTCTTACATAAAAAACATGATTTTGTAAAGGGCTGTCTTTGTCGTAAATTGTCATAATGTTACAATGTATTACAAATAATATTAATAATTTAAAGTACATAATTAATTTACAAATTTACAAAACTTATTTAAGCTTTTATAATTTAAATACTTAAACTTTCATAAATAAATAATTATGTGTAAAAAAAAATTAAAGTCATCTTAAATTATAGTACATCTAGTTATACATTATCCAAATTGTTGCTAGTAGTTTTTTGATCCAATTTATTTCCATTTGTTTTAATTGTATAAATAAAAAATGTTAGTGCTTCCTTCTCGTTAACTGATATCGTTTTGAAATGGTTTAAAAGAGTCTGAAAATAAAGTAATAAAAAACATAAAATAACTTTAAATTAGAATTGAGGATCAAGATCGAATATTGGTTTATCGGATATAGTTTTTTTATAAACTAATATTAGATATTAGCTTTTTACTATTTAATGGTAAGCCTAAGGGTAAATAGGCTTAATAGTAAGCCAATTGGCTCATATTTAGCCAATTAATCATATTACCTAACACCTCTAGTTATTAGTATTTAACTCAAAAAAAATCATTATTGGATAATTTCTAATTTAAAAATTATAAAACTGTAAAAATCATCTCTTCTTCTTCGCTTTACCCCATACAAATGGTATCAGCTATAATGAAAAAGCCAGAATTGACAGTGGTTAAAAAAAAAGGAGGTTGGTGACAACAAGTAGAAAGCAGAGTAGTATAATGAATTATCAGTTATCATCAAACCTCTGCCATTTGAGCTTTGTTGAGACTTGGTTTCGTCACTACTTTAAAATGCTTTTTATAACGTCTTAATGTGTTCATTTGTAATTGAGAAAAGTCAACTTCAGGTACTTCATCTTGGTTTGAAGGTTTTAATGATCTAGCACTCTGAATCATGTTTTTGTGATAGTCACAAATGTAGATATGTCTAGCCTATTAAAAAAATAAATTATGTTAATAAAAATATAGTATATTTTTACATATTTAATAGATGTTTTTATAAACGCACAACTGCATCTAAATGTAATTTGAGCTGCCGAACTGTATTTCGTATTTTTTTACTATACGAGGCATTTCCTGCCTGTCGTTGGCATCTAAATCCTTCTTCTTGTAAACAACACAATTTGTCATTTGGGCCACGAGAATCTTCTTCACCAGTACTAAAACCGTTTTGATTCATTTTCTAAAAAAAGTAAGAAAAAATAAATTAAACATTGTTACTCTAAGAATAAAAAAATAATAAATTTCAAAAATCTATTTAGCTTGTGTTTGGAAATGATCAAAATTAAAATGTCAAGTTTGAAACTTTAGAAAATTTAAGCTGTTCTTAATTTATTAAAAAACCTCCTGGAAAACTCAAAACAATCCCAAGTATGAAATACTTGGTTGTAATACTTTTAATTCTTAATATTATATACTTATGCTCTTTATTTACTAATGTTTAATACTCTATGGTTTACTTAGTATTTGTTTTTTTTTTGTTTTCATTTCAAAGTTATCTTTACTATTTACAAACTCATTTAAAGTTACTTTCAATTATCTGTACTGTTTGCCCTATGGGTGTTATCATCCATTTGATGAAATAAATAAATAAAAAATGAAAACTAAATTAGTACATTTTAATGTTTTTTTTACGATGCTTCAACATTTTAGTAGTTATGCTCTATAAATATAATAATGGCTTTAGTTAACAACTATCATTTTTTGTTTGGATACTTTTTATTCATTATTATTTACTAGTTAGAGATATTAGACATATAGAATTATTTACAATGCCAAATAAATATGAGATACCCTTGTTTACGTTTTATTGTGTGGTACACTTTAAAAAAAACACTAAAAATTAAATAGATATGGCAGAGGAAATTGTATTGTTATTAAGTATATGAATTTATACTACCTAAAATCACTTAGTATATGTGACAATTCTAGAAAAAGTTAAGTTATTTACACTTACCAGTCAATGGCGAACCTTCTTAAATCTTAAATAACAATATATCATACAGGAATAACTCGACTTTTTATTTTGACAATGTTAAACAACGCATTAAGAATGACAGACAACAGCTGCAATTACACAACATAAATAAAATTAAAATAATGACACAATACCTAAGATGATAGGTACAAGTATATTATGAAAGTATACAAAATACAAATTGAATTTAAAAAAGCGAATGTAAAATTATGTCAATTATATTTGATTAGAAGTTTAACGAATAACGTCGGTAATATTGTAATATGTAGGTTGTATACTACAGATAAGAATCGTTGATAAATAAAAACAGTGGACAATGATAAAACAGTTAGGGTTGCCAACATTAACATTAGGTATATAAGTGGTAAAATAATTTAAAAATTCAAATAACTTATAATCACACATTTGTAAATTGTACATCTAGACAGTCAACATGAACAACTTATTATATTGTTACTTAATTGTAACGAGTGTCTAAAGCCTGAAAAAATAATTTACAACCATATAATACCATATAATATTTTAATAATAGGTAGTTAATAATGTACAAAATACAAATGTTCAACATTTTCCCTAATTTTTGCATATACCTAATACCTATAGGAAATACCTGTATAAAAAAAAATCCATAAGACTATACTAAGTGCCAGTGTAGTTCTATAGTACCAACTATCTACCAGAAACCAAATACTATAATAGTATAATATCTACATAAAAATCATAATGCACCAATTCTAATTTTTTATTTTTTAGTCCAACGTTATTTGTGGACTTTGGTGAAAATTCTATACAAAGTAATAGATGTATGCATCATCTTTTTTTTTTTTAAATAACTGTCTCTTCAGTTTTTCCGGTTGAATCTTTCTTTTCACTTATCATGTCAACCTATATTCTCGAAATTTATACTCCTCCACCACGCCACAGCCATCAAAAGTAGCATATAGAACTAGTGAAGTATAATCCCCAAGACAACTACTTTTTAAGTCACTATAGGGCTAGAGCATAAAGTAATATTATTCTCTTAGGCCAGAGAGGTACGGTTCTTTTTAGGGACAGTCGTTTTGTATACTTGCAATTAAAATATAATTTTGATCAAAAGCGTAATAATATAACTGAATGTTATCTTTTTCCAAATAAAAAAAGTTACAAGAAAAAGGAAAAACTCAAGGGCATTATAAAGAATTGTTATTTAGGTTATAAACAATATTCCGGACTCAATAATTGTCATAAAAAATTTAATTCTTTAATACAACATAATAATAATTTTTATTACTAACTTTTGGAATCAACCTTCAGTTATTACAAATCACAAAACATTAATATATTAAAAAGGTTTACAAAATAATAATAAAAACTATTTTTGTTTGTTATTTGAGCATATTTAAAATCAGTACTTTATTGAAATTAGATTAATTAAATATGACGTATGTAATAATACTAATAAATAATAAAAAAAATTTGGAGTGCTTAAATAATACATAAAATTAAAATTAAAATCACAATAGTTTACTTTATGTCATTTAAGTAGATAAATTATAAGTACACAAAGTGATAGTTATAATTTATGACTATAATCATGTTAGTCATGTACAGTAGAGTCTCGGCTATATGATAATTCAAGACATCCAGTAATCCGGACCCTCGAAAATGAACAAATGCTTCAAGAATTTTAAGAATAAGCGATAACATTGTTATTTCAAGTGAAAAAGCAAAAAAAAATTTACACTTTTTTTAAACCTGACCAATAAGTTATGTATAAAAGTTAATAAAGTTTGTAATATTTTGTACAATAAATACATAGATTTTACGACTAAAATTTGTTTTTTATGAACCTCTATTTATTCAGCGTTTTCATTAAACCGGCAGTCCTCTGGTCTGATATCTGCTGGATTACTGAGAGGCTACTGTAGTTAAAATAATAAATAATAAGTAATTCTGATATGTCTGAAGTATCAAAAATATCTATGTTAACACATGTTAATAAAAATGTTATACAGATTAAGTATAGACCTTTTTAAAAATCTAAAAAAGTTGATTTTTTTTGTTTTACATAATATACTAGTTGGTAACAAACATACTGTGTACTAAACAACACTACTTATCACAGATAACCACATAAAAATATTCAATAAACATAATTAAAAATATTTTTTTATATTCAACTAACTGATAAATAGATAAAAGTATTACTGTCCTATAAGATTTAGTGTCCAATTTGTTGCAAGTGGATTTACGTGTTCAATAATCCATTTTTGATCTTCATCTTTTGGGTCACAATGAGTTACATATACTTTTCTTGTACTAATATCACCTTCCAAACATCTGTAGTTACCTCCATGAACGAGCATTTTATTTTCCTGCAATAAAACATTCAAATTGTAGGTATATATTTTTTTAATATTAACTGTTAATAGAAATTATTTACATGATCATAATTCCAGAGCTGATTACCCCCAGAACTATGACATCTATATAATGATATTTTGCCTCTTGTCGATACATCCGAAACATCCAAACACATGTTGTTTTTTTTCCTTATGTCTTTTCTCCAACTTAATGTGAATTCCTAAAACAGTTTTACAAAAATATATTACATGTTGTACGTACATAAGACCTACCTTCAATCTAGTTTTAAACACTAAAAAAAATGTTCCCCCACTTCTGGGAGAAAAGGTTAAATATATTTTCTTAGTTTTAGACTATAAATAGGTAATGTTGTATCTAAAGAATTTCTAACTATCTTTTAGAAAGTTTAAAGGCCGACACTCAGCCCATTTCCAAGGAGTTAAGTATAGGCAATTTTTCATAAAATCTTAATTTTGAGCTTGGACTATAGTATATACTTATTAAGACAATAATGAGGATACATTATTAATTGCTAATTTTTTTGTCAGACTATCACAGTAATTTCTATAGTATACATAACAATTTTTTCCCAATTAAAACTGCTTTGCGTGGGTCAAGTATGTGAAAACAGTATTAACAGTAGATTCACCAAATTTTTACAATGTTTAGAGATAAACCTTATCTATGGGGTAACGTTTTAATTTTTTTGTTATCTAAATTTAATACTTTTTTATAAACAAAAAAAGATGAAAAAAATTAACCTGTCCCAACAAAATTGAAAAAAAAAAGCCTTAGAATTAAAAGTTCAATTCTGGCGCATTAGATCATTTGACAATTATTGAAGGTAAAACTGTTACATGCTAATGTCTAAAGCATTAAAAAATTTAGTCACAATTAAAAAACTATTTTTCCCTTATTACATATATGTATCAAAGCTTTTAAATCATAATATCTCCAATATGACATTATAACATAAGAAGTCATTAAAAAAAAAATACATATATTTAATACTTATATTTTTGTAAAATTGTCATTGTACTCATTAGAGGAACTAATATAAAAAGAATTGCAAATAAGACATTGATACAATTTTTAAGTATTTGTTTTTAGGACACAATAAAAGTATATAAGATGAAAATAACACTATAGTCAATGAAGCCTCAAACTTCATATGCCGCTGCATACATTTTAAACCACAATATATATTAATAAGTGTCACATTACCTGATCATCATTGTTGTCTCTGCAATTTTTCAACTTAAGCCTATCTTCTAACGTAGAATCTAAACAAAGCTCAGGAGCATTGTAACTTCTGATCTACAAACAAATATTATAATTTTAAAATAAAAATAAAAAATTGTTTTATTTTTTGATTAGATATGTTGATATTGTTGTTTAAAAATTAAATTTTAGATACTTTTTAGACAAAATATTTAAATAATAATCATTGAGAATAACTAGTGAAAATTGTCGTAAACATTTTACTTTTGAAAAAAATAATTAAAATTATTTTTATTATGAATTCATATACCTTTCCATGGCCGATATCTGGTGGTTCCACAAGTGGATACCTTTTGACTAAGTCAAATGCGATTTCACTTATAAACCATTTAAAAGGTTTACATTTTAATTTTTCTCGAATTTTTTTTTGCTCAGTCAGATCACCAGGATCGATGTGTCGGTAAGTAGGTCTTCGACTATACAAGTACTCTGCATACTCATCCATCCATACTTCTGCGACGCGTTTATAATTCTAATTACAATTTATAAATTAACTATGTAAACTAAAAAATCAATTATGCTATGAATATATCATTAATGGTATATATTATACCAGGGATTCCTGGTTCAACTGATTGTGCTCATGGTTATAATTTTTTTGCTTACTTTTCCAACAAAGTCTCCAATACCAGGATTAGGAAACGGTGCAAATTTTCTATAAATGTGTCCTATTCTTGAACAAGGGGCATCTAGTATTGTTCCACCACATTGCCATATTTTAAATGACAATTCATACTGCTCTCCACCCCAAATATCCAAACCTGGATCATAACCTCCAAGTTCCCAAAACCAACGAGCACTTATGGCAAACAAACCTCCTGCCATTACTGGATTTCTAGAAAAATTGAATATATGATACATTTATAGTATCGTTTTAACAGCATTGTTTTAGCATCAAGTTTTTATTTGTATAGTTTAATATATTCTATTGCTATACAGGGTCTTCAGAATTTCATAGGCCACCTGATTTTTTGATGGTATAATAGAAATATAAAAAAATTATTTATGTAAAACCTTTTAAATTTTTTTCAAACAATAATAATTTAAAGTTGTTTTTTTTCTATCGGAAGCCAGATTTAGGGGAAAGGGGGGAGGGATGTTTTGAAACTTTGTATATATATTAGACTGGTTAAAAATGTATTTTATTTTATTTTTTCGCCTCCACAACGAAAAATGGGTACACTCGTTGAAAAAACGTGTCTGGTAAAAGGGAAAAAATGTTTTATTTCTCAAAAAAAAGATTTATTTTGGCTAATTGCATAGGTATTCTTCATTTTCCATTTAAATGACACAAGATATTTCTACTGTTTTTTTATTACGTATAACATTGTACATTTTAAAAACACATGGTTCAAGCTAGCTACCGGCCTTTATAAGCTTATAAAAAGACCTTCAAGATTAATTATAGCTATAACTGAGTTTTTACATAAATATATGTTTTATATTCCATGAATTTTATTGGCTAAACTACTTGTCAAAACTCAATCATAATCATAATCAATCTTGAAGGTCTTTTTTTTTTATAAGCTGGTACTTAGACCTGTGTGTGTGTAAATATACATGGTATTATAATTTATACATCTGGGTGAATAAGATATTTGTAGCTGATGTTACCGAAATGGTTTAGTAGGAGTCATTAGGTCTTCTGGCAATAAAGGTAATCTTTTATAAAAAAATTCCCAATCAAAAGCACCTCTAGCCCCTTCATCTTGAGCTTTATATTGAAATGTTTCATACCCTATAACATCAATGAATGGACAAACACATGTACGGTAATCATCTGTAATAGGCTCTAAAAAAATATATAATACATGAGAAATAAATTGTTTAAGTTATGTACAAGTTTAACTGAAAAAAAAAAATATATATTTACCTAATAGAGGTGGCAACCAATTAACATTAGCTTCAGTATGTGAATCTAAAAATATTAATACCTCACTAATAGCTTTTTTAGCACCAGCTAAACGAGCCCTAATAAGGCCCTGTCTTTTTTTCAAATGTATTACTTGTACTTTACCATACAAGTTAGTTTTCACAAAATTATCTAATGGACCTTTACAATGAGCTAAAAACAAATATAAATAATTATATAAAAACACAAAAACTAAAAAACGTATTCATGATTTTTCATACATTTGGTGCTGGAATCATCAACTAATATAATTTCCTTTAATAAAGTTTTAGGTGAGCGGTTCAATACACTATAAACAGTTCTCAACAGGACTGAAAAATGTTCATTGTGAAATGGCACAATTACACTTACAGTTGGCAATTTGGAACTGTATCTTTTGGATTTACAACTGAAAACAAATAAAATACTTATATAGCTAATTAAATAAATATTAATATTATTTAATAGATACACAATGTACCTATACATATAAATATATTTTTAACGAGTGCAAAATTACTACTTACAGCTTGTGACGAATATCTGGCAGTGAACGATTCACAGATATACTATCACTTAACAAGGCATTAAATCCATTTACTTTATACAATGATTCATACTTGTCCTGCATTTCAGAATTTTGTAATTCAGCAATTATACCTTGTTCACCAACACCTTCAAAATAAAGTTGCTTTTTTTTATAAGCAATATAAGTTTACAAACCCTAAAATACTAAAATTTTAAGTTTATTATGTTCCACCTACCTGTTCTGAGTTTTTCTATATTAATTTGTTGCCAATCATGCCAATCAATTTTTTGAGGCACATAGTTAGTTTGTAATTGATAATCTGCTAAAACTGAAGTCAAATTAGTACTACCTCTATGCTTTTTAGTTGTCCATTTTAAGAATTTAAAAACGACAATAGTGACAACAACAGTGATCAAAATGTATAAAAAATATTTAATTGCACTTTTCAAATTTCTTTTCATTTCTACTTTTAAAGAAACTTATAAAAATTGAAAACAATTCAAGCATATAAATAAACACGGTGCATAATATTTTTGAGAACCCTATAAAATGATTTATTTGGAGTTGTCATGGCAATAAATAAAGGGTATAGTTTAACAATTGGGGTAAAAATCGTTGAAACTAGTACTTCCTATCATGTAATGACAGAATGCATTTGCATTCTCTCATTTATGATAAAACTCCAGTGTCACTTCATTTTTCACAATATCAAACACCTACGCAGTTGTTTGTCCAATAAAAATTGATAACTATAATTAAAAAAAAAAAAAAATATATGGTTTCTTATAAAAATATACATTACAATAAAAATTATACTATGTACATTTTGAGCACGCTTGCCGCTAGCGGCGAATTCAGATTTCAGTACATCTCTTATCTACAGTCTACCATAACATCAATTGACAACAATGATAAAACGGTTATAGCAAGGTGGATTTATAAATCCACCTTGGGTTATAGCTCATTTTTATCAAATAATGATAACAACAATATGATAAATTATACCATTGAGTATTGATATGTTCAGAGTACATGCTTAACCCTTTAACTGGCCATAGCACTCCTTTTACGGACAATAATATAGATTATAGACTATAGTATTTACATAATATTAATATTGATATATGATACATCAATGATGGAAAGTTATATAATTTACTATGTATATACATATTAATAATATATTATATGACAGTGATTTAGACTTATTATTTAATGATTATGGTGGATCATGGACGTAAAGAATAAAATAAAAATCGAATATCTGCACGTGTTACTCACTTATTTTAATACAAACTATGAGATGACAAATAGTTGTCACTAGTGAAGTGGAAATTTGGTCATGCCACCGTGGATAAAAAAATAAATAGTACTGAATAAATCCACAAAAATCAAAATATTAAACATTATTTTATTAGGCTCGCTGTGGATATAGTTAATCCACAGTCAGCATTGTTTTAACTATTAAACTAAATACTTGCATAAGTCAAAATCGTTTTATAACAATGAAAATATTTTTGGTTGTAACAAGACACGTTAGGAAGGATTTTGTGTTAACAATGATGTTTTTTTGTGTCTGGGCCCATGATATTTTTTAAATCGCTGAGCCGATTCCTTTGCAGCAAGGCTATATATTAGAAAGCATACCCGAAAGGCACTTAACATTACAAATTTAAAAAGTTTACCCCTTTAAAATCGAGTAAAACACTGGAAAAGTTTCCTTATTATTAACTTAAAACTATGGCGCGCTATAGCTTCTAAAAATAGTATAGGTATATTATTTCATAATTTGTATACATTTTTTTAAAATAATATAACAGTTAATACTATCAGTATACGTTTACAAACCGAAAAAATATCAGAGATCATTTCCCCAAAAGGTTTAAAAACTATTTCTTTATATTTTTTTCAAAGTAAGTTTTAGGACTTGAGGCTGAAAATTAGACTGGATCTAGATCTAGTGAAGGTCTTTATAACAGTAATATTTCGATAATACCGATTTAACAATAATAACATTTACTATTTATTTTTATTAATGATCTCCCCCCCCCCCCAAAAAAAAGAGTTCAATGCATTTTGACCTAAGTAAATTTTTAGGTTGCTATAAGTGTTGGTCAATCAACATTCAACAGGGTATTTAAAAATATTTTCATTATATTGTTAATTATGATACATGAGTAACAAGCAATAACTAACAAGGCCAATAAATTATTATAGACAAACGATCGACCCTAATCATATCCACCTTAATACTCAAAATATAGTTTTAGGCATATTATAACTTTTATAATGCTTTTGTCGATTTTCAAACTGCACTATCAGATGTAAGCTAAAAAAAATGCTTATTAAAAAAATTAAAATCGCGCTAGAGAATATAATTGCATTTGTTCCAAAAGTATATTTTCTCGACAAAATCAAGTGTACAATGTTTATAATGTAGGGGGGTCAAGGGTCAAACCCTTATTCTCCAAAAATTTGGGGTGGGCGGCCTTCTTTTGACCCATTGGACATTAAAAATATTATCCTAAATTACACAATTTGAAATTTGGCAACCCTACTCTTCATATTAGAAATTTATATAATATACAAATTTTGGATGTCTTAGCCGACTGGAATAGTGGAATGGTTAATGTTTATCAATTGATAACAATTAATATGTTTACAACGATAAGATTTAAACAATTTTCATGCTGATAGCAACGTTTTGTTCATCTTACTATCACATTAGAGTTTTGTAAAAACTAAGATAATAACATTGCTGAATTTTGATCAAGAAAGTGTTACTGTACTCTGTAGTCGCATTTAAAATATAAACCATAGATAAGTATATAAACTGAAGACCTAAAAATTATCGTAAAAGTTCATATGCTTTTTTTGTATTTAACGTATTTTAGTTGTTTTCTCAAGTGAAACATTTGGTGCAATCAGTTTTATTTTAAATTAAAGTTGGTAACCATGTTGTACCGTGTGCATGCTTCATACCATAGGTCAGTAAACTAAGACAAGGATTTGGGGCTGGAGTTTTACAAGCTATTAGTTTTTTTTACACTATTAATTACATAAATTCAGACATTTATATTATAATATAAAAGTAATACTTCCAAATTCAGTTATGTAAGTATTATTATTATTATTATCATCCTTTGGGTAATTAAGAAGAAATTGCAACCTTGCTCTATTGATATGAGGGTTGTTAAACTGAACTTGATGGATACATAATATATTATGTTACCTATAATTAATTAGAAAACAATTTCAGATTACAAATAACGATATGCGAGTAATGGAATTAAGTATCATCTGAATGTTGCTGCTGTTATTACCATGCAAAGCCTGGCGGCTGCTAATGAGGAAGTCGCAAGAGTCTGTATTCTATTATCAATATTTAAACTTCATTTTTATTTTATTAATATTTTGTTCTTACAGATATTGTTACATCTTGGCCGTTCATGTATCCAACATAAAAGCTTAGAGAGTTCAGAGGACGAAGAAGAAGAAGAAGAAGAGGAGGAAGAAAAGGAAAAAGAGGAAAGCTCAGAGGAAGTAAAAAAGGAAAAAGAGAATAACGAAACTCAAAAAGTTAATCGAAAAAAGAAAAACTTATTAGAGAAGTTATATTCATCATATAACCAAAGATTAGTTGATTTCGTAAGCTCTTCTCAATGGCCTGATTATGTAAGAAAAAAAAAAATTAAATACAAAATTAATATTTTCATTAATTTGTAAAATATAATTTTAGCAATTGTCTCCTTCAAGTTTATTGGATGGTTTATTCGATACGTCATTTGAAGGCCATCCAAATGTTCTAATTATAACATTGTATTCTGTTGATATTGGTTATTCAATTAAAATGACTGTTGACGATAATAATTCACCTATAGAAACATATTTTAATTATGAACAAGATTCAATTTTGGAATATATTAAAAATGAAGAAATTCCACCACATCTTTTAGATTTGTTAGAAAAAGCTAAACCACCTTTATTTTACTGTGGGTGTGTTATAGCAGAGATTCATGACAAGAAAACTGATCAGCAGATGATATCCCGTATTCTGTTACGCCCTTCTAACATGGTAAGTTGTTTTGTGAGTGGCTTAGGGAGCTTTTCTACAACTATAGTTAGTCACTGTGTTTTTTTTTACATTATTCTTAAAAAATAATTATGAAAGTTATTTCTTAAAATTAAAAGAATTATTTTTCAGTCTGTTTTGAGCGATTTGAATCAATTACTGGCTTACAGTAATACCCTCAATTGGTCCTATGAAGAAAAGATCAAATTAGAAAGCTTGTTGATGTTAGCATCTCAACCAGAACTATGTATCGATTCAACACCTAGTGTTGGCCAAGCAGTAAGACTATTATACGATATGTATGCATTACGGCGAAAAGAATTGAATCCATTGAAAAACAATCAACAAATTACATATAACATATTTGATTCTGGTTCCATTAGAGAGATATATCATAAGTCATCAAATTCCTTTTTTAATGATGTGCAAAAAAATTCTAATTTAGCGGTCAGTAAAAATATTGTTTAATAAATCCTTATGCAAGTTATTCATCATTAATACTCTAAATATAATAACACATAATTATACAGCTATATTAATATCAAATTTTCTATGTTTTACAGAAATCTGCAAACTGTAATAGTAATGTAAATATGAATTGTCATTTGATGTGGGAGTTTGATTTTCGACTGGATTCAGTAACACTTATTAAATTATCTATTTTGGTTGTAGTAAAAACTCAAGAATATTCTTTATTGTTAAATTTTATTTCTGAAGTTAATTCAGTTTTGAGGTAGCTTAAAATTGATAATTTACTGCTTAGTAATTTGTGGCTTGATTCAAAACCATTATGTCTATATTTGTAGGTTCAAAATAAATCTGAAGACGAATAATTTAAAAGCTTACATAAGTATAATATTAGAAATATTAAAGGAAAAAGTAGATTCAAGAATATCAGTTGTCCGTACATATAAAAGTGGATCAAAACCAAGTTATGTGAAATTTCTGCCTATGCTATTCAATGACAATATACATGAACCCAGTAAAATAGTTATTAGTCAGGTAAATTATATAAACAAAACATTACTGTAGACCATTTTTAATTAATATACTGTTTTTTTTATTTTTAGTTGTTGGACAATTTACTAAAATGTAAATTGGAAAATACATGTAATAATTTTGGAATAGCACAAAAAAAATCTTTAAATTTAGTCTCATCAACAAATTCATCACAGAATGTATTAAAAAAAAATAAATCTTATAATTCAATTTTAAGAAAACGTGCTAAGATAATATGTAAAAATTTTAATGTATTGTCTGAAGACCTAAAGACTGATTCTGAGAAATGTTATGTAAGTATTGGTTTATAGGAGTTCAGAATATGTTTTAGGGAAAATTAAAATTGTTGGCTTTTATTTAAAAAGTATTGTTTATATCATTAAACATCCACCTTAATAATAAGACTTTTTTGTTTTGAGTTAAAAAATTTAAATCATTTTTACCAAATTATCAAAATTGGTGCTTTTTGACCAGAAACATTCTGGAAAGTGTTTTTCGTAAAATAACTCAATAAAAAACTTAAATCATTTTTTTCTATGTTCTCTAAATATTTTTTTTAACATCCGATTGGTGCTCCCTTCCAAAATCATCCCAATTTTATGTATCATAATCATATTCTATTGTGAAGCATGATTTGTCTTTTAAGATCATGTTTTAAATTATATAAAGATTGATTCTTAAAATGAGAAAACATTATTTTCAAAATTGTTGCTAGTATGTGTTCTAAACCACCCTAAGGTGGTTTTAAATATTATATTTAATGTCATTTTTTTTAACTTCTTACAGATGAAACGTAGAAAATGCAGCATTGCAAAGATGTTACTACATTCTAAAAAGAATACTGGTAAGATATTTAAAGAGCCTTTAAATATTCAGTGGATTTTTTAGAAAGGGCATTATTGGATTAAATGATTTAAGATAATTTAAAACTGCCGATTCAATATTACATTTTTTTTTTTTTTTTGAAGGAGGTTCTATATCTGTAACAACTGTGAATAAGTGTGTAAGTTGATTCCTGTGATTTTACAGGGGAGCAATTTTAAACTTTGACCAGCTGCCATACATCAGGATTTCATTTAAAACATTTTATTTTTTTATGATCCTCTTATATTGATAAATACTTTACAGGTATTCAAGTGGTTTCTTTCAAGCTTAAAATTGCTTAAGCAAAAAAAAAAAACCCTTGTAAAATCACTGAAAACGACTTGCACACTTATCCAAAGTTGTTATAGATATCATCTTACATAAAAATTCTGATCATTTTTTTATTACGGGGGCTTTGCAACTGTGATTTGTGCATTTATAAAAGCGCAGCATAAAAGCACCAGGGCAAGTAATGCTCTGGTTTTAACTTCTTTTTGTAGATGGTTTAATAAGTACACTACTGACTTATTTTATTTTTTTTTTGCTTTGCTTAAATACATTTAAGCATTTTTGAATACTTGACTTTGCTTACATAATAATTGATTTTTTAATTAAATAGAGACATCGACGTCAAACAATGCAAATGTTTTGGAAAATGGTGCTGAATCAAATCACGGATCAAGATTAAAAGATTTAGAATCGCCACCGTTAAGTCCTTTAGCTGTTGGCTTATCAGCTTCGAGTTCAATGACATGTGTAACATCTGTGTCTAGCCCAGTTACCGATACATACTCAACGGTAATTCAAATAGAAAATGAACAGGCTACTTTAAAACAAGAAGTACAAAATCACAAACATCTTGCATCATTAGAACTTCATTCAATAGCACTCGCACCATTTGTGTCAAGTTCTTCAAGTGAAATGTCGTTTGTTTCTAACACCGATATGGAGTTATCATCGGTTTCAAGTCCTATAAATGTAGTTTCTTCTGTATCAAGTCCTATAACGGTAGTTTCTTCAACACTTTCTAAAGTATCATCGACTGAAGCAATAAGTATCAATAGTCTATTAGCGTCACAAAGTTTAACTTTACAAACAGACAGAAAGTTGTTGTCAGCATTTCGTGGACAACGTGTACGCATTAACACTAAACTTAAATCGGTACACTCAACAAAAAATCAACATTTAAAATTATTATTATCAAACTGTGATGCAGCAAAAACCAGTCACATTATTAAGCAAAATCCCCCCCAAAATATAAACGATGTGATAAAAACAGCATCAGGTACATTACTGACACAATATGTCAAAATGAAGCCTGGTGGTAAGAGTGCTGTACATAAAAATGGAATCAGCAATGCTGGTCAAACGATTTACAAGAAAATTATCTGTGGAAATGCTGTTGGTAATGTTAACAAGACAATGCCTCAGTTAGCTGCTTCGTTACAAAGTTAGTCATTACATGAAACTATTATTTATATTTATCATAATACTAGGTGGTGCAAAAGAAATACATATTTTTCAATTAAGCAACTTAAAATTAATAAAACATAGTTGTAAAAAAATGTATATGTATATAATTTGTAATTAACTTAGTTCTGATTGGTATACAACGTTTTTAATTTTCAAAAGATTTGTCGAGGAGGACACCTATGTTGTTGGACACACACATTTAGAGCCTCTTGAAAATTCTGCATTGCTTTCGCCGATATTTATTGTGGCACTGCTGCGGTTTCATCATGAATGGCGACTTTTAATTTGGTGGTTTATGGAAATAGATTTTCAGTTTGAGGCAACCCTATAAAAAGAAGTCACAGACAAAGAGATCAGGTAGTTGGCCAAACATATCTCTGACAACTTGCATTAATGCTTATACGGTGTAGGGCTGTGGCCTCATTTTGTTGGAACCATACTTCTCTCATATTTTTCTATTGTTTGAAAAATTTTGAGAATAAGAAATCATGCAACATTAGTATACAATTTTTTTTTTTAATAAAGAAGTTACAGTTGTTTTGAAAAAAAAAGTATTTTTTGCACCATCTTGTACAAACTTGTTTATTTATTAAAAAAGTACAATTTATACTTAGGAACTTCTGCAGTAGATCAAACTACTACAAATTGTCAACTAGACAGACGGAAAACCAAAGTAATTAATAATTTGTTGAATAGTAAAGATTTAATAACTAGTCAACCTAATATACCAGTAAGTTCATTAAAAAGTTACTGCATTTATTTTAGTCTTGTAACGAATTGTTTACTGTTTAGATATCACTGCCAGGTGTTATTGTTCCTAAAAACACAACATCTTTAAATCAATTTAATAACCATCATCAGGTAAAACATAAATATATTTAAAATGTAGGTTACATTTTAACTAAGCATTCTTTTTAACAACGATATATACAGTTTACAAATAAAAAAAAATGTAAAATAATTCAATTAACTTGGAAAGCTAAATAAAAATTTGACGTTCAATTTTATTTGTTCTCTAGTATTTAATAAAATTGACTTCACTGTATAACATTTTGTATTTAATTAAATTTTTTTTTTTAATAAGAAACTGTAATTACAATTTGTTTTAAAAATTATTAATATTATTTTACTGAAGACAAAAAACTACTTAATATAAAATACTTGGTCCTGTACGTGTAATTTCATATTAAAATAAATATCTGTGTATATTTTTTGTTAATACAGTAGATAAATTAAAATTTTTGTGTTAACAGCGTTGCAACAAAATATTAATTTTTGGCTGAGATCTAAATTTTTTAAAATTGTTGTTCGTTTGTGATGTATCTTCCATCTATTCATTTTTGTATAACGGCTACATTAAAGGAAATAGTATGGAGCTTTGGCTAGCATCGCAAAACTTTGTTTTGTTTTTAAAAATATTTAACTTGTTCAAGAATGCATATTTATTTTATGCAGTCCTTAAAGACTTTTTTTTTGTTTATTGTCTGTTGTTTTTATATCAAGTTCTCTTTATGTTTTTCACATTTCATACAAAATAGTTTGCTTTAATTCTTATTTTTTTTTTGTATAATAATTTACATAAACTTTATTAATTTTTTTTTTAGGTAAATATTGCACCAAGGTCGAGTAATTCTAGTGGTAAGAAAAATTGAGTGATTTTTTTTTCTTCAATTATTCAATTTGTTTACAATTATTTTATTTATATTTTTAGTCTCATCATTTACTTGCCAAACATTGAATAACATTAAACCGGCTATAATGGGTTCAATATCTACTGCAAATAACACGGTATGAGTTTATTATTGTATTTAAAAACAATTCATAATTATAGATATTTTTTATTGTTAAGTGTTGGTGATGTAACAAACTCTGAATTTTGCGTTCGAACCAAACTTACTTTAACTTTTAAAACTTGTACGAGCTTTAATTTTAAAAAAAATGTATAATAACTATAAATTAAATAAAAAATGTGTTATGGTTTAGATGTCTATAATTATTCTCGTATTGTAATTGTTTTTTTGTTGTTTGATTTAATTTTTAAAGACTAAAAATGGTAGGTAATTTCATGTTTACAACATTTGATGTGGCATCAAACACGACAAGTGGTTACACCTATATTAATTTTATAAAATTAATTTTCAAGGGAAAGTAGATTTGATAAAAGATTGTAATAGTTAATAAAAATTGGGTTTGGATTCTTTTGTCAAGTTTGGTTAGAAAGTTCGTAATATAGAGTTTGTTTCAAACCTAATCGAACTTGGGCTGTCCAACATTATGTCTTATCATATTTTATACTTTTAAAAGCTGCCAAACTTTAGAATACTTAATACAGTATAGACTTTGTTGTACTATTACCGTTAACCTTCATCCGCTCGCGCCTTATAAAATAACACTACTGCTCTCGACGGTGGCAATTTAGCGGAGGGATGTGTAACTCTGGAGAAGAATATTCTTGAAAATTAAAAAGGGCGGCCAATTTTCCGCCAGCGCGAGCGGATGAAGGTTAATAAACTAACACTTCCATGTTTTCGAAAAAACATAAAAATAATATTTACAATTATTTAATGCTATGTTATGCAGAGGTAACTTGGGAGTATTTTGATACCAGTAAAAATAAACGTTACATAATCTACAAAGCTCTGGCCGGATTATATAAAATATTATCGAACTGAGCCAAATCTTCACTTGTGTTGTCAGCCCAGTTCACCCATTATATTTTCTAACTTCTTCGACAACTTACTGTAAAACTTAATTTTTTTAATTAGGTGAATGTAGGCTCATTTCAAGTGATAAATAACATAACACCCTCAGTTATTGATGGGTTTAGGGCAATTAAGCGAAAACGGTCCACATAGGTATGTTAACTCAATAAAAAAAAAATTACAGTTTTGCATTAAACATTTTATTTATTTAATAATTAGTTTTCAATGAAATAATTGTTGTTAGTAGATTTAGATGTTTTTTAAAGTACTCATTATAATTATTATTATTAAAAAATATTATTTTGGTTAGTATGCTTTTAAATTAAACTTTTTTAAATTTTGTTGGTATGTTATGGTTTAAAATAATAATTTTTAATTTGTTTTTAGCAATGATGCAAATATTACGCATGGAGTATTTAACCATAATAGTAAGTTTTTAATGACTTATACATCATTATTTATTATGTGCAATACATATGCATAAATATATTTAAGTCAACTACGTGTAATACATATTTGTAAATGCTTAAATGTATATATCATCAATGTGTATATGTAAAACAAAATGATAAAATCACTATATGATTATACTGTGTGTAGTATAGGAATATAAGGTTATTGTGATTATATACCTAGCATATAATATTTTAAATGTTAAAATGTTAGGTAAATGTGAATAGTTAAAATGTTCTTAGTAAATTGTATTTATTTTTTTTATTTGTTAAGTAGAAGATTATGGACCAATACTTACCTGCTCGATAATATAGTAACATGTTTTTGTATTGTTTATTCTGATTTTTTGTTTACTGCGTATTTTAAAAACGCTTTATGCATTATTTTATACCATGTACATTTATGCAATATTATTACCGTTTTTGCATTTATTCTAATTTATTTTTGAATAGTTTCAACTTGTAACTAATGACATTACCTCATATTCTTCTACGTGTTCAAATACATTATCAGTATTAATTTTAAATAATATTAGTAGTATATTGAATTATTATTATTCATTAATCTTATTTGTGACTTGTGGAACTGCCCTTCGAACACGCATAAATGTTATGTATTTTTAATAATGACTGATCTAGACTAAAGCATCTGTTGTGAAATGGTTTATCACATGAATAGTACTAGTAATAATAAAAATAATATAATATTGATGTGATAGATCGCTATGTGCATTTAGTTTATGTATGTCTTATTGTGATAATTAATGTTGTTCAATACATAGAGAAACAATAATTGTTTTTCTATTTATTTTTTTTTTCTACTAATGTTGACTCTAAGAAATGATAGATTTGTAGTTTCTCTATGTATTATAATTTTATTTGTGTCTAATTTAATTTTTTTATAATTAATTTAAGAACAGCCGAACAATTAAACGATTCAATATTACTAGATAAAATATCTATAGTATATGTATGTTTTATTTTTGTCAAAACCAATCATTGTAAAATTACTGATGATTTACCAGAAAAGAATAAAAATATTGTAATATCCTAGCTACCTCAAAATGTAATATAATTCTATAATTTATTATTTTCCAAAGTATGCTCTGACCAAAGCAATAGTTTGATAAAATGTATTAAGGCTTTCATGGATTGAAATATAATTTAATACTTATCTTCTAAATAAAAGTATACATTTTCAAATTATTTAAACAGACAAAAAAGCCGAAAATAAAGAAAAATCTTCATTAGTTTTTACTAGTTAATATGTTCAAAATAATGCAAAAATCAAAAAAGTCATCTAATCCTTTTATACTATATTAGTCATATACAATCTTAGCAGATACTTTAACTACATTAAAATAATCAGAGTATATTTAATGTAGAGTGCATAACTTGAAAATATTTTTATTTATTCAAAATCTAAAACAATTTATTGGAATTTGTATTATCCGTTGCAGTTTTTGGTTTAGCTGTTTGGGGTTTTGCAGTGGAATTTTTGGTAGTGAGTTTTTTGACCAAATACTTACTTTATTATATTTTAATGATTAAACCTAAATTATTATATATATTTGGTATACCTATTTACCTAGACTCTAGATCCTAGAGTACTTATACACTTTTATAAATATATAATAACATGAATGTGACACCATCCGTTTGAATTATGATATTAAGTAGGAAATCCATCATAGATCCAGCCTATATAATATTCATACGACTATGTTTTAAAAGAGAGGGGTCATCGATTATTTTTTAAATATCTGTATTTGAACTTAAGTTACATAAATTAAAATTAAATATGGTAGTTGTTTGAAGACAATGAGTGTAAATTCATCTATCCTGCTTTGTTATTATACCTAATAAGCATTTCATTTGGACTTTGGTTCAAATTTTAAATAAAAAAGCTTACATATAAAGTTTTTGTTAAGTTCAATAAACCTAATTATTGACGAAGTATTGAAATTGTAGTCAAACAAGTATCATATACCTAGATCAATTAATTGTAAGTGCGGGAATAATCTTGTTAAACATTTAATTTATATTTTATTCATTAATATCGGTTGCTGATTTTTTTTAAAGGGGATTTCTTAAAGCATTATGCTTTTGTGTATTCAAATTTTAAGTGGCTGTCCATCTAAATATTGCCGCTATAGTTACAGCTTATCAAGACACCTTTCTACATACAATTTTACTTATAAATGTTTGTCAATACCAACTTGTTTATATTTTAGCACCATGATTTTTTAATTAATTCGTGTACATTATTTGCAAAAATATAAAGTATAAAATTGTTTATTTTAAGAGTGAACTATTGAATAATTAGACATTTTCGGTATTAATTTTATATTTATAAATTTGTAGTTACAGTATGCCTTCAGGCGTCGTCGACAGTAGAGCGAACCTCTTATCTCAAGAATTTTTACTTTATATTAGACATTTACAGGAATCTATAGCTGATATTGAAGAGTCCGATGAAAAACAAATTATTCATGTGGGTACAAACTTTATATGTTGTTGTTCAAAATAAACAAATGTATAATATTCCATTATAATTCGTATTAAAAAGTTAAGCAATAATCCATACTATTTCATAGTGGTAAAACTAAATAAACAAATAATAAAATTAAAAAAAATATATAGCTATAGGTAAGTACATAATACACGCCTTAAACCTAATAATCCTAATGTCCTTACATTGTAACAAATTAGTGTTTTTTTTTAAATTGTATTACTTGTATAATAAAAATAATAGTAATATTATAATAATGTTCGAATGATTAATGGAAAATTCACTAATTCTAGACGAAGTATTACATCGATAACTTGTAAAATTTGATATTTTATCTTTGAAGCTGTCTGTTGTCTATTAAACACTCGTCAACGGTCAAGCACAGTGGACTCTGAAGAGATCATTATTCATTATTATCTACCATTAAATATGTCCATGCACGACCATTTTTTTTTATAAACCTATTTTAAGTACAATTATTTAAAAACCGTGTTTTGGATACGTTATATTAAAGAGAGGGGTTAAAGGCCAGGGGCCAGTGTGACGGAGTTAATTTCAATATAATGCTAGCAAATAAGCAACAACGTTAGATGATTATAATTATTATTATAATACATAAAAAAATACTCATAAACAGGAATGGCTTCACATGATGTTGGAAGAAGTTCAGTTAGACGTGGCTTGGTGCTCGTCTTCGAAACATGGCCATGGCGCAGCTGTTCGATATAAAAAAAATAGAAGTAATGCTGGAAGGAAGACATACGGCCGATTACGACGGGGTGAATAATAATAATAACAATAAGAAGAAACAGAATATATAGTAATCAAAGTAGTTAGGTGAAAAATAATTATGCACCCAATCGTTTACTATTTACTAACAAAGCCAGCCACTGTCGGTATAGAGAGGCGGACTATAGCTATCATTAGACTAGCCCGGGAAAATGTGCTCAGACCGGTCTATAGCCCTTCATTATTTCACGTGATGTCCTATTATTTATACAAATTTTTAAAATTTGTTGATGACTGATGTTCTATATATTTTTAAAAACATTTTATGTTCACATTTTTTTTTTTATGAGCCGAGTGTGGGCTAGTAACCTCTTTCTTTTCCCAATGTATTCTGATTTTATTAGCTGTTATTCAATTGTACTATACACATTTAAAACCAACCCTATTTTTAATTGAAAAGATCTATTTATGTAATATTAATATAAAAATATATAAACAATTTTAAGATAAATTTATAGTTATTATATGCAACGGTCCACCGAAGCCTAACATTTATGATAACAGCGACTAATATAACATGCCGTTTTAATATTGTTAAACTACCTATTCTTTTGTAATGCTTTTGTATGCAAATTTAATCAAATCAAAAAATAAAATAAAATAGCCAGCATAGTGTTTCGGGACATAGTAATGCTAAAATTATATCCACAATTTAATGTTTTTTTCGCGTAGCGAAGAAAATAGATTTCCCTCCTTTTTTGGAGATTGCTTGCGGAGTTTTGTACAGGCAATATTTATAAAAACGAGGTTATAATACATTTTGTCCATGTCAATTAATTTACCGGTTAATTTGTATAAGCTTCAAGGTATTATTTTTAATTTAAATAATTTTTTTCTATGAATAAAAACTTTTTTTGATTATTTTAGACCAAAAAACCAGACAAACGTACCTAGAAGTATACCTACTCTGCTAGTTGAGAATTCTAACGAATGTACAAATCCGTTGATCGAACAGTTGCTTAAATTTTTATCGGTAAGATGTTAGCCGCACAAAAACATTAAAGGCATTGCAAAACATCAGACGCATATCACTTAGGGGATAGTCGACTGCGGTGGTTAAAAATTAACTAAGGGAATTAAAATGAGTCTACCCTAATACTAATAATGCAATATTTTAAAACATACAAATCTTAAAACACATGTAAATAATAATTTTTTATTAAAAAAAAAAACTAGTTTTTTTTTAACATGACTTAATTTTTGAAGTAAATAATGACGTTGTTTTGTAAAATTAGACTGTTTATTTTACATCAAAATCAAATTTGAAAAAAAAATATTGATTACAAAACCACAATAGTAAAAGTACTTTTAAGTGAATATGATACAAGAAAATAGATTTTTCTTAAATCTTTCTATCCTGACCATCAATCAATCAATAGGTCGTACAAAAAAAAAGGTAATTATTATTATTCATTATATTGTATAAATGTAGGTATAAATTAATGTATTATAATATACCGACTTTATTTTGTTAATTTCTGTAGTATTGAAATTAATGGAGTCATGACTCACGATGAAAAATCTAAATAGTTTTACAATTTACTGAATAAATTTTTTTTGACTAGGAGGAAATGTATATATTTTTTTACACCAATACACTATTTTTGTAGGGTATTTTGAAAACTATATAAAAAATGTCCTTTGTTCACAACACCCTATTCAACGACCCTGTTTGGGAAATAAATTCAGGGAGCTAACCGCACATACAGTTTATTAGTGTTATAACAGCTTAGTGCTTTCAAAAAAAAAAAAAAAAACTGTGTTGCAAAATATACTCGTCACCGACGTGGGACATGTAACTTAATGTAGAACTGATACAAGCGAAAATCATGTTTTTAATAAAATACCCAGTTCCAGACAACCCATATAATATTATTACTGTGCCTACATATAAGGTGTTTTTCAATGTAGTAGTTACGCGATCTTCCCATACATTTTGTATAGGGGGGGTCAATGACATACAGGTAAGAGTTTGGGTTAGTCAACGCCTTTTTCAAACAATAAACTATACACATAGGCAAACCGCGTGTGTTTTAACAAGTTAAAAAGGGGTTGAAATGTCATGGGATTTTTTTTTTAAAGGGTTATCTGGTTGGTATCATTTATATTCACACGATATTTTGCTTTTTTTAAGGGGACGACCAATAAGCTTCTCAAAATTTAACCTCTATATATTTAGTCTGTATAGGCTGTTAAGGGGAGTAGTTTATTATTTTATAGCAATTCTTTCTAAACGTGTCAATGGAGAAAATTAGCAATTCGTGGAAACCAATTATTCGTTGGGGAAAAATATAGAATTAAATATTACCAACCGATCAATTTCCAACAGTAGAAACAGATGATTTCGAAAATTGCAGATACAGATGGGAAGAGCAAAATACAAATGAATGCCAAAAAAGTAACAACAAACAAACTAGGAAAAACACAAAAGATAATCACATGACACATCACGAAACCAATTGGTCGAGAAAAAAACTATACAAGGATACATAAATAATTAGGCTAGGTAGTCACCATTACTTACTGTCCATATTTTTCCGGTGTTGGTGAGTTGCGGCCCAATCCCTAAATCAAGTACGAGTTGTGGCCCGGGTTTATGAGAGGGACGTATGAGTTGCGGTCCGGGTTTATGAGAGGGACGTATGAGTTGCGGCCCGGGTTTATGAAAGAGACGTATGAGTTGCGGCCACATAATAATGAGACATTACCCAAGAGACACCACGGGGAGGTTGGCTGAGTTGTCTCCCAAAAATCTATCTTTTAGTCAAGTTTGGTCATTTTATTTGCCAATGAGCGTTCCGTCGTTGTCATTTTAGTTTTTTTTATATAATTGAGAGAATTTAAAACTTAAAATTTTGACTAATTCAAACTGTCCGATCTCTTTGTTTTCTAGCTTTGACATTTGTTTTCTAATAAACGCTTCTTTCTCGCACAGTTTCTTTATAATTTACTTCTAAATTTTATATACGTTTCAGATTGAATTTCAAGTAGCATATCAAAGAAGTTATACATATTTGGATGGCTAGTATAAAATGAACCGTTTAATTTTAAATAAAAACTTTCACAGCTGTTTGTGGTACGGTTGTAGCTGGCAGTAAACTATGCCCAAATATTGGGGGGAACGTCGCGTCTGGTGAAATGTGGTTAAACTAATTAAATCCTATAAGATATTGAGTGGATCTCTTTAAAAAAATCATGCTGTATAACTAAATTGGCAATAAAAGTTTTAAGATAAAAAAAGGTTGCACGGACCGCAACTCATACGTCCATCGAAAACTGCCGGGCCGCAATTCACCGGTCTCCAACATTGTAAACAACACCTCGGGCCGCAACTCACCTACAGCCATTAGAATTTAGGTATTATGTATAGCGATTAACAATAAACAAAACACGAATTTTGATCACAAACAATAAAAATAGATAAAATATTCTGTAGATATACATATAACAATCTGCACTAGTCCCCACAATTACACAATTTTTAAAAAATAGTATACATATTTTTTTAAATTAAAAAATATAAATTTCATAAACTGCCAACTGGTGTTATAGTTCTTTAATTAAAAAAATACAGATTAAATACAAAACTAGTCAAAATACCATACCGAACAAAATGTCGATAAAATACAGTTATTAATAATTATATTGTTCTAAATTTCTACAAATATAAAATACCTAATAAATAATTAGTCTAAACAAAAATGTCGTGATTTCTCGCATCAAAGTACCCGGGATGATAGCATAAACTGAAACAAGAAAAGCTCGTTTATAATTAAATTTTGTATAGTTTATGTTTGTTCAAATATAATAAATCAGATAAAATAGTATTAAAAAATATTAAAAATTTGATAATAACCCTATAGGTAGTTACCAAGTTGTATATTGTCGCGTCACAAAAAAAGAACCACGCAAATACGCGACAGCCCCCAGTCATAAGATATTTTATGTAAAAAAAAAAGTATTTTAATTACTACAGTAATTACAAATAATTACGTAAAAGTAAAGTAATTTCATTACATTTGAAACGAATTTTGTCCAAAACTCCAGACTATAATGTAGTGATGAAATATAAGACCGGTAGAGGGCACCACATAGTACAAATATTGTACTTGATTTTAAAAAAACCCTACGCTCATCAAACCTTGCATGGCTTCCTGTCATTAGATAGAACCCTACTTGCCGATGATGCAAATCAAATATGCCGCAGCTACCAAAACGTCGTGCGCTCCCGTCTGACCGGCCATCAGTTTGTCGCCACACTAGGATACTAGGGTCCCAGCAGCAGCAGCAGCCGTCGACTTTACTTACCACTGTTAGTATGTTACTGCCACGGCGCGCCGGTCTCTTTTTGTCAATGTCGCATCATCCCCTGATGGACATATCACGTATTATTCAAGAAGAAAGCAGTTGTGCAAGGAGTCGTCTACATCGATAAATCGAGTTTTTTAAATTGGAGTATTGTAATGCTCAATTGTTATATTATTATCAGCGGATTGGCTAGAAACCATCATCCCAAGATGGCAGCGTTTGGCCTTACAGGTCTGTTTAGCTGATAAACACAAACAACGATTGTTGGATTTTGAGCTTTGATTTTATTTATGTATTTAATTTTTTTGTTTCATTTTTATGTGATAGCTTTGTTGCCCAGAATAACTTCAAATGGTAATAGAGATATAGGTACTGTATACAAATTGACTGTTTGATTGTAGAGCTAATAGTTTTCATTTTTGCTTCAATACGTCATATTTCGCTAAATCTTCATAGCCAGCCAGCATCATAATATCATCCCTATCCGTTAAAAATCCATTATAAATTATTAAAAAGTAGAAATATGAACCACAGTTTCCATTTCTAAGAGAAAACATTTTAACTGCCAAAAACACTAAGAACAATATTTAAATGGAAAGCTAACGGTAAAAAGTTTTGTTACATCCATATATTGACATAATATACTGTACGTATGTGTACTAACAATATAATTATTGATGAATAATCGAAAATTCATTAAAATTTCATGTTCCTATTCCAAAAATCTAGTGCGAGTAACAAATAACAATTTTAAGCCATATTCGATTAAATTCACAAACCAAACAGGAACATGTTCTGAAAAATAAATAACAGTACTTAAAAATTCTTTAAAATTACAAATATCATGAACATTTTAAAAGTCGTATGTATTATAATGTATAGGTTTAATGTAATCGTCTGAAAAAGCACGTTAAGATTTTGGGTTAGAAATTTGGTTACTTTATAAAAACTGACATTGAAGTATTTCGACTATCTTTACAATTTATTTGTTTAGGTAGATCTTAAGCATTAAAGCCTTTTTGAATTTATAATAACTAATTATTTTAAATATTCTACCACATTCATTATTTGTCAGCTATTAACTGCCCTATATTGTTCGTAGTGGTCATAGTGGTACTTATAGCCCTTTGAGTCATACACTATTACTTTTTTTCAAATTGTTTTGACGGTGGTTTTAATAAGATACCACAAATCACCACTCATCTGTCATAAGTCATAGTCCATAGAGTAGTCGTCGCGGCAGTGGAGCGGTGACCAGTGGCGTACTTGAGACTTCACCTCAGAGGAGGCGATATTAAGAGAGGTCAACCCCCCTTTCCTCACAACAAAGATTGTAGACATTTGATAGAACAAAGCACAATATTTATTTACAAAATAAGATCTATATTTCTTTTTTTAATATTTGCAAATTTATCAATGACATCATCAACATTTCACGACCGCGGAGGCCGGAGCGAAAAACAAAGGTGATATTATACCCCGTAGGCTGTAATCATAATGTTATCTGTTACCAACACGAATATCTTCAAAAAACAATAACGAACATTTCTTATGAAAAAAAAAAAATGTATTTATTGATTAAATTTAGATTTTAGAAACGCTTATAAGTTCAACAAACATAAAATATGATTGACAAATATATCTCGGGGGGGGGGCGATTTCCCCTATTGCCCCCCAATTACGCCACTGGCGGTGACTATCGATATTCCCTCTGAATATGAACTCTACGAGTCCGACACGTCAGAAAAAAATTAAAGATATACATTTTATCCTAGATTTCTTTTTTTTTTGTATTGTAAATTAAATGTTTTTTAACCCTCCGTCAGTCGCCTGATTTTCGGTCACACCTTAATAAACAATATCTAATTAAAAACAAATGTAGTCGACCATTTTTTAAAGTTAAATTTGTGTAGAACTTTTTTTCAATATACTTATAATGTATTTTACATACTTGTCAAATATTTACAAAATATGTCAATATTTTTAACGTTTTAAATAATTTTAAATATTTCGCGGTATTAGTATGTCAAAAACAGTTAATATTGTATTCAATATTAAATTAAAAAAAAAATACCATTACTGAAAAATACTGTAAGGTTTTAGATGACATGTTTGCCGACTTGGAAAAATCAATCCTAGCTAAAATGTTTAAGTACAAAAATGCGAAATTGGAATGGTTATTAGTCCATCAAGTGATAAATATTTACATGAAGGAAAGGTTTGGAGAAGCAGAGGAGAGCACAATTGATGAAACAACAGACACTTTTTATACTGTGATATATAATGAAATGGAGATGGCTCAGAAAAAACTTAATGTATTATAATACAGTACATATTATAATACATATATAAAAAGCATATTATTATAAATATTACATACCTACTGTATTTTAAAAGGCAATGACACAAAAGAATTGTGAAATAGCAGAACAACTGCCATTGCTAAAAACGGAAATTGGTAATAGAGAACAAATTCGAAATGCATTAGTTAACGAGTACGAGGAAGAAAAAGAAAAATTAAGAATTGAAATAAATAATGAAAAACGTGACATATTAGTAAGAGAGAATACCATTAGAGATCTTCAAAATAAGAAGGAAGCATTAGACTAAAATCATCAAAATACCTTTAAACCAATCATGTTTATAAAATAAACAATAAAAATATTATTCAGCCGATCTAAATTTGTTGATTCCAATTAAAATAACCCTTAGAAAATTTAAAATTAGTATGTTATTAGTGTACTTGAATAAACATAATATCTTAATACATTTTAAACTGTTTTAGCTTTAAAAAACTATGAATGTTTTTAATGTGATTCGAAATTATATAATAATAACACTACTTAATGGTGTCATGTTCAAAGCAAGTAGACAGTAAATATTTATTATGACTATTTAATAATAAAATAATTATTAAAATTATGAATAAAAGAACATCAATATTAATTAAAAAAAAAAGTTTTAATTTACTCATTAACTAATTTAGTCAGAAAACATGCTCTTGTCATTGCACATTCTATACATTTTTGAATTTGACCGTCTTTTATAAAATCTCCACCTAATGACAAATTACAAATATATTTAAAATTCAGTAATAATTTTGATAAAATGTCTTATTCAAGGCACGTTTCATACGCTGCGTACAAATTTGACTTAAACGAGTTGCGCGTATGGTTTGTAACAAACGTCCAAATCATAGTTCATCACTTAGTTGGGTAATGTATTATCATACGTGTTGGTATGAAACGTGCCTAAAGGATAATTTTTATAAGTAGTAAAAACTGAATTACCAAAACTCACCTGGTTTGTGTATAGAAAATAAGTCTTTACCGTTAGTGACAATGGTAATTTTACTCAGACTTAACTGTTCCTCTTCTTCAGTAGGATCGGCTATTAAAAGTTTTTCATTAAAAATTCCAAATGTTATAGCGAATGGAAAATTGTTTACATTTAGAGGTTTTGTATTTGCAGTAATATTTATTTCTTCCGTTTCTTTGTCATAATTCACTTCTGGTATTTGAACTATAAAATATGTATTATTTTGTAGTAATAAGTAACTTATTATTTTTGAGAGCACAAAAGTACTTTAAATAGCTACTACTTACTGGTGTTAATGGACGATAGTAAAGCAGCAAGGCATACATCGGCAATGGATCCATCATAGTTTAAGCAATATATATCGAATGAAATCACCCATACTAGTTTATCAACACATATACATAAGTCTTTGAGATTTATAAGATTACAGTTGTTGCAAACTTCATTTAAAAAGCTTGTAGTTTCCATTGCTTCATCACATGGTATTCCAGGTCTAAATTTTTTATAACATAAGCTCGGTAATTCAACATTTACTAATACATAACCATCATCAGGAGTTTCAGGTTTAGGTGTACCCAATTCCTAAAAAATACAAATCAAACAATGTTAGGACTTAAACCATTAAAGTATAGAGATCATGTTAACACAAACTAAATATATTCTTGATAGTAATCCAAGTTTTTTTTACAGATAGAGCTCTTAATATAAGGTGAGTGTCTTTAGATAAAAAATTAATTTTTTTCATTAGGTCAATTTTAGTTTTTAATCTGTTTTTATCTAGACATGTAAACATAGTAAATTGTAATTTATTTTATAAGAAAAAAGATAAGTAATAACCACACAATAGGATTTTTTTCTGACAACTTACTAATTGCTTTCAACGTTATGAAGTATTAATAACATTATTATGAAATTAATGGGTGTTATTAGAGAACCAAAGTGATTGAATGTAATCAGTTGTCACCCAAAATTTCTAAAATGTGGCTGATTTGTTTAAAATCAATATTATGGATTACTATAGCACTTGTATGATTTTTTTATACCAATCTAACTCCACAAACAACAGATGTATTTCCTATTTTGACAACTGATGACCCATCTGCAGTTTTTATTGGATGACGATTTATTGCAGAGACACGAAATTCCATTACACCTCGACCGTCACTTCTTACATTTTTTGCCTAAAAGTAGATTGAATAATGTATTAATAGAATATATAAGGATATTTAATGAAAATTAAAATTAATAATAACTTACAAGATAATCCTTAACATAAGTGTTGCGCACATTTCTGAAAAAAATAAAAACATAATTTTAAGAAAGATTTATAACATAGAATCTTGCTTTGATAATAAATAATAATTAAATTGTAGATAAACTTTTAAAATAAAGAAAACCTGAATATAAGACTCATTGCGTAACAACTTGTTTTTCATATCAAATTAGGTACATATTATTGTTTCTTATGGTAATGGATGAGATTACAAGAGAATTACAGGAGAAGGGTTTTTGGTGTTTAATAGGTAAGCATTAGATAACTATTATACTTTAAAGAACAAATGGCAGTTTAGTAATGTATAATATAATCTTGAAGGAGGATTAAGGTGAGACTCATTTGCGAAGGATAATATAATGAAAAGAAGTTAGAACCTCATCTGTTATAAGTCATTCATTCCATTATTCATTGATAATGCGTATAAGCTGCATTTTAGAATGTTGCGTTAGCTTTGGAGTTCTTCAAAGAAATTATTTACACATGTGTCCGAGATTGAAACAAGTAGTATATGATATCATGACAATAAAAAATAAATAGATAAACAAATGATTTTATAGTTTTATTTATGACAACTAAAAAGAATAAGTAGGTAGTGGAGTGCTATTATATTCATTCGGACAAAACATTATTATGATATACTCAACAGTTATCACCCACTGCTACAACAAAAACAAGCACGACGTCTACCTTTAAAAATACGGCCACCACGCTATTGAATAAAAATTGGTATGTGCTGAGAGTTGGTGATAGTATCAAATTGTATTGGCAATTTGTGTTAATTAAAGGAAAGCAATTTTGTCCGCGTACACCATTTTACTTACGTTTTAATGGAATTCATACCGAAGTACCGGCGTTTGGTTTACAAAGTTTTAGAAATCACGAAACGTGTGTCAAAAGAAAAAAACGTAATCACAAACGTACAGCGGAGGGTACTTTTTGAAAACGCAAATAGGTAATAAAAATTGAAAAATACACTATTAAATCAAAATATTTATTTGCCGTTTTCAGTTATCACTTACCTTCGTGTGGTCAAACATGCGGCCGCTAAACCGGCGCTGTTATCGATTGATAACAATACTGACGATTGTTGGAACGCAGTGTTTCCGTTTGTAGAGCGGCATCTACCACATGCCGGTCTCGTGGTCACACTGTTTGGAGACCATATGATTTTCCGGTGCAAGGGCACTGGGCACCTGTCATTTAAAAAAAATAACCGTTACGAACCTAACAGCGTCCGGCGCATTAGTTTGTTTGAGTGAGTTTTCCCCGGTGTACGGTCGGGTCGCGCGATTTCGGTTACGGTTACGGGCAAAGTAAAAGCGGCAAAAAAAAAAGAAGAAAATCGTAACGTAACTCCACCGATTTAAATTTTGTATATTTCCTTTTATTTAATTTATTTTGATATCCTAATAAGTCAAGTGCTTAGTATAATACATACATATTATATATATTTGTTTACGATTATTTATTAGAACAAAATAAGATTTGTTTTATTATTATTTTTTCTTAACGACGATTGGAACTCTTAGAGAAAACCACACTATCGAGTACCGTTTCAACATTTTTGCAAAATATCGTATAACATAATCTGACAACAGTTCGTTCGCTTTGCCCACGTCGAATTGAAGATAACGCTACGAGTATAATCACGCCGCTCAAGTTATTTAATTGTCTTTTACAAATATTATTAAATCGAAGAGATGGATTTCACCGTGTTCAGAGATCAAGAGAACGTTAGCAATGTCGTGCGCAACAAGGAAAACGGTCCAAGGGAACATCAGCAGAAGCGGTCAGTGCTGGGTGTCCTTAATTCTAAGCCGCAATATAATTTCAACAAACAACTGCCGAAATCCAAGGTACCTATAACTATTGGGTTATTTTAAAGTAGTCATGGATATCATAATATCATATATGATAGTTGGAACATTACACGGGTTTCTGAGCTATTTACATTGTCTGCTAAACCAGTTATTTTTAAGCTTTCTACGCATGCATTCATAGGTAATACATTTTACACTGTGATGGTTTATCAGTAAAATGATTTTTCGTGGGATTTCCTGTTGGTATATTGAGTACTTATTTTTATTTCAAAACATATCTGGTTAACATGTTAACTCTAATGTTTTTTTGGTATTTTATAATTATGCTCATTAATATTCTTCTTTATTTATTCAAAACATTACGATTATTGCTAAATTATCTCTTGAATGCACTAGTTGTACATATAGTGCTCATGTAATTTATTTTTAAATACCTACTTTATTAACACTGATTTGTAGAGATGTTATTTTATGTTCTAAGCGTTATGATATGATAAATAAATAATTTATTTAGCAATTATTAGGGTTAAGATTTTTTTTTATACCTTTTATATAATTGTGCTTATGATTTATCTTAGAATTAGGATACATGACTATTATAAGCATCAATACTAGAGTAGGTGCTATTCAAATGTACTTTACTAGAAAACTTTTTTTTGCGACTTTTTGCCATTTTATAATGTTTTTTAATGGTGATTAAGAATCTAAAGTCTGAAATCACCTGACTCAAAAATTATAGCTACTTGAACTTCAGTAATCAGTCGTAGCAGCGATAGCCTTTAAAAAAGGTCTATTTCTATGTCGCACTTTGTACATGGGTCAAAACGCCAAATACGAACAAACGTTTGGAGCAACCCCCATAGATTTTTTTTAAAAATTACACTGCATATCTGTTACGATTAAAGTAATGTTTTCAATTTTTTTTTGTTTTTTGGCCATGGCTCTAAAAAGTATTTTTAGTTTTTTTTTTTGACACTTCTTTTTTATCATTTTTTATAGTATCTTCGGCCTTCAACAAAATGTATTTAAAATCAGATTCTTATGTAAAATTATCTCAGCTTTCTGAAAAAAAAATTCTGAAAACTCACAAATTTTGGGCAACATTAAAAACAAGGTTTATAGATTAAAAACTCAATTTGAATGACATTCTGTTATTAGAAAAAATAAATCAACATTTTTCTCAGAAAGCTGAGATTATTTTACACGAGAAACTGATTATTATTACATTTTTATGATGGCCGAAGATACTGTAAAAAAAACATAATAAAGTGGTGTCAAGATAAAAACTCAAAACACTTTTTACAACTATGGCCAAAGTAATCGAAAAAAAAAATTGAGAACATTCTCTTCATCGTAACAGACATGCAGTGTAATTTTCAAAAAAAATCCGCGGGGATTTACTCCAAATGTTTGTTTGTATTTGGCGTGTTGGCCTATATGCTTTTAGGATGATAAATTGAATGCAATGTTCAGTTGATTCTTCACAATTTAAACACCTAATGTCTCGATCCTATTGTGCTAGCTTTTTTTGTTTGACAATAGTGTGTATTTATAATGTTTAAAAAATATTTTATAGTCCCAAGGACCAAGTAAGTTTTGTTTTTCAACCAAATCGACTGTGCCATTTGCTATACATGAAGATGAGCCGACAGGGCCTAAAAAAATTGATGATAAACTTCAGAGGAAAAATTCTGAAAACATAAGACCATTCCAATTTAAAGTCGAAAATAAAATTACTGATGTACAGGTAATTTAATTTAGTTCTAAATAAATGTTGACATTTTTTGTTACAATTAAAATATTTTACTATTAGATCACTACCCAAAAGGTTGAGGTAAAAGAAAGAAAACCGCTTAGCGATGTTGGTCAAACTCTTTTACCATCAGTTGAAGAAAATGTTAAAAATGATGAAAAAGACATTGAGTTTGTGGATGAATCTGCCAATTCAAGTTGTGTGTACTCACCTATGTCGGTCGAGAATGATAAATCTCTTCAAAATTCTAGCCAATCATTAACAGCCTATCGGTTACGTTGTGATGTTGATGCTTATACATCTGAACTATATTCATATCTTAGGGAAGTTGAGGTAATAAAAAAATTAATTAAACAATTTTTATAAATATTTTGGCAAGTTCTATAATTTAATTTTATGAGTAGAAATCACATCGTCCGAAGCCTGGGTATATGAGAAGACAGCCAGATGTTACGTATAACATGAGAGCCATATTGGTAGACTGGCTAGTGGAAGTCGCACAAGAATACAAGTTGCAAAATGAGACATTATACTTGGCTGTTTCGTTTATTGATCGCTTTCTTAGTTTAATGTCAGTAGTTCGTGCCAAACTTCAGTTATTAGGAACAGCTGCTATGTTTGTTGCGTCGTGAGTACACTTGTTTGTATAATATAATAGATTTGCAATGACCATTTTCTTTTTTTTATCTAGGAAATATGAAGAAATTTATCCTCCTGATGTTAGTGAGTTTGTTTACATTACTGATGACACATATACAAAAAAGCAAGTGTTGAAAATGGAACAGTTGATATTGAAAGTTTTAGGTTTTGATGTTTCCAATCCTACGATTATTATTTTTTTGACTCATATATGTGTTCATTGTAACGTTTCAATGAAAGTCATGTACCTTGCTATGGTAAAGACTATATAACATTAAATATACAAATGTACTTATCAGCAATTACTACAATTTGCATCTCTTTTTTAGTATTTGAGTGAAATGAGCTTATTAGAAGCAGATCCCTTTTTATTATATACTCCATCAATGATCGGCTGTGGAGCAGTGGCATTATCCAGATTGATTTGTGAATATGAAGATATTTGGCCCGAAGAAATGTCTCAATTAACCAAATATTCTTTAAACGATTTGATACCTGTTCTCAAACATTTAAATCAAACATATAAAAATGCTCCCCATGCTCAACAAACGGCCATTCGTATGAAATACAAGTCTACAAGGTATGTTTAATATACTTGTATATATATCTGTACGTTCTTATACACGGTGTATTTGCCAAACATAGCATTTATTATCTATGCATATGACACATGCCCTGTTTTATTATTATTTCAAAAATTGAACAAATTAAGTGTCCCAAAAAGATACAAATGACCATTTTTTTTTTTAATTATAAAAAAAATGTGTAAATATTAGCATCTATAAACCTTTTACAATTTTTTCTAACAACATCTCATCAATTATTGATAAACACCTATACTGGAAAATATTAAGGGACATTACTCATAAGAACACTTGACATTAAAAATTAAAATTATTTGTCGGTCCTAACAATGGCATTTTAATGTTAGTTATTAAATTGTGTTTTTTTTAAATTTTTTATAACTAACTTTTTAAAAAATTGTTTGAACTTGGAATATTGTCTGTGTATGTATTTGTTTGTGTAATTCCTATGGCTTCTGAAAAATATGCGAATTAAAATTTTCCCCTAACAATTTTTTAGCATGGTTGTTTTGTTACCTAGATAAACTGATTAAAATTTGGTAGTGATTGGGTTTCATTTTGATGGGAAATTATCTCTCAATAATATATTGATGTAGATATCTGAAATTTATACAGTTTAGTTGTTTACTGAACTCGACATATTTTAAAAATGTTGGCACTCTTGCTCAATAATTGTAAAAGTTAAGACTATTTTTGCTTTTATCAGTCGAATTCAGTTTAAACTTTTAGACTTTGATAACACTTTTTTTGTTATGTTACCCTAGCAACCTATGTTTCTTATGGTTTTATAGTGATTTATTTTCTAGTAAAAGTAAAATTCGTTTTTGAGAAACTTATTTTCATTTGCCATGATTCGGCAGCAAGTATATTGAGAATAAAAAACCTTGCACTTTGCTATAAATATATTATAAAATTTACAATTATCAATAATCCAAAAATAATTATTAACAAATATTAATATTTTTTCTTAAATATTATTTTCTTTTTTAGGTATCATAGTGTTTCTGAAATAGAGTATAAAGAATTGATTTTACCTGAAGAAAATTCGCAAAGGGAAATGGCAGAAAGACTTATGTTGGTTGGCGTTCAAGACGCATCGTGATTCTATCGTTATTTATTTATAAATTTTTTTTAATTATTATTATTTTTTTTTATTAATTCTTTTGTAGTGAACGAAATATTTTTTGACACTTTTTAAATTTATATATGTTAAGTTAAAAAGAACAAAGCTACGTTCAAAAACGAACCATAAAAACTGGAGATATTGCGTCTTGCTAGAATCACATGTAAATAATAAAAACCTTTTACATTATTTAATTAATATTATTTTTTTATTATACATTTTTTAAATTATTTTTTTACCTATTTAATTTAATTTAATTTTTACGATTCCAAACGAAATATGTGTATGTGTTTACAATGAATGTCGTTAAAAAAAAAGAACAGGTATATTCTTAGAAAAATATATTATTATTCAAAATTGCTTAATTTTCATTTACCATGAAATGAGTTATTGATTTATTTACAAACAAAAAGACACTATAACATAATAAATAGATTTGTTCATAGATTTATATAGCTACAATTTTTTTTTAAATTAACAATTAACGTTGACTTTTCTTTGTTGTAATTTTTAACTAATAAATTTTAAATGAATTAAAGAAACAAAACATTTCCTATATTTGTGATTTGCCTTTAAAATAAATGTTGATTATGTTATATATAATAATGATATTTGAAATAAATCAATAGTTATAAGAAATAAGTATTGTTTTTTCAATGATAATTCAATAGCACTTTTAAAATAAATTATTTTGTTAACTGATTGATTAACAAAAATTGTTCCACTGAAGTATTATAATATTACTATTCAGTTAGCTATCATGGTTAGGCAATGATATGTATATAGTGTTTTGTACAATATTTATGTTTTTGAAAAATTGTACTTAAAATAGAAGGATAAATGAGAAATTATGGATAATAATTTATGTCATTTGTTCTTAATGAAAATGTTTGTTTTTATATGTAATGATCATTAATTATATTGTTTTTGTTTTTCCTGTAAAGTATTAAGATTAATGATAAATAAAAGTAATTGCCGAACCTAAGCATTTGCTGTTTTATTAAAATAAAATTGTGTACACATTTTGTTTTAATTACATAGATCATTAGGTAAAGTAAGGTATTAGAGGTTTAAAGTGATGATTAATTATTGTTATCAATTTTTTTTCTAGTTAGGTGAGAGTATGTTGTTTAACATATTAGTCCCTATAGATTAGATTGAAGCTTTTTAAAAATAAAGTAATAACATACTAAATGGTATTTTGCCTCCTAAATATTCAAAAAGTTATGTATGTAATTTTTTTATAATTTAATTTTAAAGTCATTGAAGCGTTTATTTGAAAGTAATTGTATTACATTTAGTTGTAATAATTCCTGTGACATCCCTCGCCCCAATAAGCTCCGTCTCCAGTGTCCTGGCTTTTTATTAATTTGTTGTTTTTGTATACAAATTATTTAGGATATTTTACAACCATATAAAACTTATAAAAAACTAAAACTTAACATCTCTAGTATATTATGCTACGTAGAATTTATGCCTATTAAAATATATCAAATATTAAATTTATTCTTATCAAAAAAATGTACAGCCCCTGAAATTGTGCATATTAACTGAATAAAACAGTTTTATTTGACCACCACTGGGCATCATATAAATATTATTCGTGTAGTTTCTGTCGGGTTTGATTGGAATTCCGCATGACTCAAAACTTGTCTTTGATCCAAAGAATATATATCTACAGACTACAGGGAAAACATTTTTTTATCATAAAAAAACATTATGTTTTTATGATGTTATCATTTAGAATATAAAAGTACAACTTGAGCTATTCACTTTAAAATCCCAACAGTTAAAATGTTTACATTATGCTGCCCATAAACTGTTACTAAAAATTATTCATTGGATTTTATAAAAAAACTAACGTTATGTGGTTACTATAAAACATTTAGGTACACAGTATATTATTATAATAGAGGTGTATACAATTTATTATTGTTTGGAATTTTTTTTTTATAATATTGAAAATCGTTAATTTTCAACACTGATGCAAGTAGTATTATCAGTAGTAGTTGCGGTTTTTTGGTCAAAAACATTTTGGGACTACAGTAAAACATTTCCTTTGGGACGTCGAATACTGCTGGTCCGTTTTGGGAACTAAGTAGTAAGTTATTCTTCTAATTTGTATGCCGATTTGTGTAACTGCATAATACATAACTGTTTCCATACATAATTGATATTCGCTGAAGTGGCATTGCAAATATTGTAAACACTGAACAGTGTTAACTTTTGATGTTTATTAAATTTGATTTATGTACTGCGTTATTAGGATACCAAGTTTGTTAATAGAATTAATTAATGTATTATTTTATCGTATACCTAGGTACCTAAGTTCTAATTAAATAATGTATACGATATAGATAACATACATACTTTAAAAAATCCAGTTACACTTATTGTAAATTTGGTAAATTATGTTTTTTTCTAATTTCCATTTTAAATGGCTACTATGATGTATCTAATAATAAATAAAACATTTTATAAAAATGGTATAAAACATTATTAACGTCAAACGTCAATTTGGTTTACATTTTATTAAAATCGGTTAGGTTAAGTACTTTGGTTTTAGACAATTATACATGCTAATCGATAAATATTTACGACTACAATGGGTAATAAAAAGGCTAATGAGTTAATAAAATTCAATTTTTCTGAATTTCTCTCTTTTTTTTTTTTTATAATGGATTATTGTTTACGTTACACAACACAAACGTTGTTAATCAGAGTTCTTCATTTAGCTTTACTTCTTTTTTTTTTTTGATTTTTTTTGTTGTTGCTGTTGGCAATCGACATTTTGATTTTTCGTCAGCCGCGTTAAGTTCTCTTCTACAAACGCATCGTATACCGACAACATGTCGTCTTGTTTTTTGATGTCTAAACACTGGTCAGACGTGTGAATCGGCCACCGTTCAGTGCTACAGGATTTATCATCGTTTATTGTATTGATCTTAGGGTCAGGGGACGGTTTTATTTCGTTCACACATCGATCTCGATAGATTTCTTCTTCTAACACCGCCCGCGCGTCCGATACACACCTGGACAGTTCCACAAAATCGCAAATTTTTTCCTTAACCGGAATTAAAAAAAAAAAACAATAATTATTAAATAATACATACATCGTGTTAGCGATAGAATAAAGCTTAAAAAATCGTTTGGATGTCTTCGTTCATTGTGGCTATAATATCGAGCAGATAGTGTCTGTTTTACTTATTATTTCTTGGCGCTCTACAACAACAATGATATTACGTGGCGAACACTTGAAGAGCGTATCTTTGGACCACGAATGAATGAGAATTCGGGTACTAGGGGTCATCGGCACCACCTCCCCCGAGATTATTTCCTATTTGCCCTACTGGGTTTAATTTAAGAAGAACACACACGGACAAACAATTGTATGCGCATTACACGAGTGCCGGGTATTTCTGCCCGAGTACGTGCAGACGTTTTAAAGACACGCGATGGTTTGTATGTTGCAATATGTTTTTAAGATTTTCCGTACCTAATCTTATGAGTTAATTACGAAAACGCATACTTGACACTCGTTCATGGTTTTTTCTATAGTTTCTGTAAAATGTGTTATGTGTTTCTCGATTTGGGTCGTCCAAGGATGGTATGAATCCAGCTTTGAACACGAGGTGGCCATTAGAGCCCGAACCCACGGTTCATCTTTGTGTATACCACCATCGAGCTTGTACACTGATCGTTGAGCCATGGCCAGAACGACGTCCTTAGACATAGTAGATTTTTCGTTAGGGTCTCTCATCGCATTCAGTCTCTCCCATCGCGATCGGATATTGTGGAACAGCTTTGGTCCGGCCTCAGCTTCTGCGGGGTCGATAAGCAATAGGAATAGTGCCATCACGCAGATAACCGCCCAAAAAATAATTACAAAATCCATTAAGAATAAGTAACTTTTTGTTTTTTTGTTTAACGTTTTGAAAACAATTTTTTATTTACTCGAGTTTGAGTTGTCAACAAAACACGGATATCTATGGTTTAAAACAAAACCAATGCCGTATCAACGTATAATAAATTCGTACGTTTTGTTTTACACGCAACCAGTAGTAAACTGGTCGACTTAATATTTGTACGAAAGGTTTTATTATGTATAAATCCCATCTATTATATATAATAGATAAATATCTGACGAATTTTTAGCAGCAATTGTAAGCTTAAGCTAATAAGTTGTACTTTGGTCGGGGCATAGTGGGGACGGAGCATATGGTGATGTTGGGAAGGCCACATCAATCGAAATTTTGGTTTAAAATAAACAAAAATGGCTTTTACTCATAGAAGAAATGATTTTAATTAAAAATAATTTAAATATAATAATAATTGAAGCTTATACAAATTAACCGGTAAATTAATCGACATGTTCGAAATTAATTAACATCTCTTTTTTTCTTAAATATTGCCTCATTAAAAAATAGACAGCATGCAATCCCCTTAATAATCATTCAACGTTGGCAAACACAGCTGCTTAGTACCAATTCGGAGATAAATTCAATTTTAAGCTGAACCGATCTAACGTACCATACTATGACTGAACAGTAGAGGTTTGAGTCACCGATAACACTATGAATGCCCTTTTGCCAATTACAACAGTTGTATATTACATTTTAATATTATAATATAGAAGTTAAATAATTTCGAAAAATGCAAAAACTTTTGTTTTAAGTACAACTTTATTAAATTATCTTTAGGGTATAAAACTATGTCAAAAACTTTTTGCAAAAAAATTAAAACCTATTTCATATAATTATGTACCTACTAAGTTTAGGATTTGATCAAGAATATCACTTCGAAATGAAATTGATTATAATAGAATATTATTTATTTTATATGATATTAAATGTTATTATTTTTTATTGCAGTAGAAGCATTGTACCTAGCAAAATTATTGGCCTTGCACGGTTATTTATTTCCAATTGATGATCATTTGTTAAATGTTAAAAACGATTGATCATATTACCGAATTCAAGTAAATTGAATGTTACATTTTATGTTTGATATAATATACTGCCTATATTAAATTAAATATACACTACATTATTTTTTGTAGACGCCGTAGTATTGGCCATCCAATATATTTGAACCCACAAAATGTTGATTTTTATGGTATCACACATGCACGTCATGTCTTTGTATTACTTTACCACAAACCGAAAAGGTACTTGTGTAACTACTAATTCGTGATCGTTTACTTGTTTAAAAAAAAAAAAATTATTTCATGTTTTTAACATTTTCTTTAACACAAAAAGCCCTTCCGTCCTAACTGTACCTTAGATCTACATCTATTTATCTGCTCAGCCTGTGATTTTTAACAGATCTTCATTTCACAATATTATTGAATTACCAAAAGGACAAAAACTTTATTGAATACAGCAGTCAAATTAAAAAAAAAAACTTACTAAAGCAAAAGACCGACTTCAGTGACATTAATGCCAACTCAAACATTTATTGAACTCGGAAAACTTTTAAAAATCATCTGCCTCATTGCGTCGAATGTGGTATAAATCAATGTAGGTACAGAAAATGACTTAAAGTATCGCGAATAACCACAAATATGTGTCAATCGTTTTGGTGATCACACAGTCCATTTAATTTCAGTTTTTTTTTAAATTTTATTCTGATAGTTTGCACCGTGATGGTATTATATATAGGGCAACAATAAAAACAGCAATAGAACTTTTATAAAAAGTTCCAATAAACATTTTTTTTCTGCACACAAGTTATAATGATGTACCTACTCAAAATAAAAGTCTCATAAAAACAGTTAAAAAAAAGTAATCAAAAACAAATATTCTGTAAAACTAGAACTTTTTTTATATAATAATTCTCTCTCTACTGTTTTTGCATTTGTGTATTTGAAGTACATTAGGCATCTACCTAATAAATGATAATACAAAACAACATTTTCTAGAACTTTTATTTTTTTAATTTCTAACTGTAACTGAAATTCGATCAGTGTTATGTATACAATATTTATACATTACGTTTTTATGTGTATTTTTTGATTTGTTTTCAATTAAAAACTATGTATGAAAAACCTTATCTATGTGTAATAGGGTTGCACACGAGACAGGTGCGTTATCCAAGTTAATTTAAATAATTAATATGATTTTTGAATTTGAGCGGTTTTTATTTTCAACCGAACGACCGCATATGCTATAATGCTTATAGCATAATATTTTTACTTACATATTTTTATTCTAGTAAAGCTATACACGGTTCGTGTCTCATGTGCAAAGACGGACTTATGATATAACCTCCATTATCTTTTTAAAACTTTTATTGTTACGTTAACATGAACAAAAAAAAGAGGAGGACAAGAAAATAATTTATTACAACTTGCTGGGTAATGCACAGATGGACGAACAATGGACTTTTTGATTTTGCATCTGTTCCATTTACAATACGTTGAAGAAAAAAAGACTACACAATGGTTTATTGATGTGTATACTTGGGATCACAAATGGTCACAGAGAAAATTTCGGTTTTATCAAAAGGCCGGAAAATCTTTTGGTAGTTATAATTACTACCTTGACTAATGAACGCATTTTTACTGTTTGTTTGCAGCTATACTACTAAAAAAATAACATTCAAAATTCTAGAATTCTGTTATTTTCTGGTCTTGTAGTTAAGTGTGTTTCTTGTTATTTGACTAATATGTACTTACATATTATGGCCGATGATGTACATGTTTTCCTAGATTATTTTTCAATAATTAAATACATTTTTTTAAAGTAATGACTAGCGATAAAAAGTGTACAAATTTTATCTTAATTAAAATTATGCTACATTTAAGTCGGTTTTTTTATTATTATTTACTGATAGACATTAAATTATTCTTTTTTATTTTGTATTAAAATATAATATATTACAACTAGAGACAAGCTTTGAGTTGCACTTATTTATTTATCATTTCACTTTAATTAAATTGTTTTTTAATTATAGTGTAAAAAATATATTCTATAGGGTATATATTATTATAGTTGTTAACTTTTTCAGAACAATAAAATTAGATGCCCCCGGAGATTTCGAAATTAAAATAAAGTAAAAAAGAGGATTTGTCGAGAACAATGGTTTTATTAAAAAGGGTGTTATAAACTGGAATAATGGTATAGCCATAATGTCCATTAAAGCTCATGGACAAGCAAGTCATTAAAAGTTTTCCGTTGAAAAAAAATCATTAATCACTGCGTAATGATATCTGACTTGTTATCGTTCTTCACACTTCACTAGTTTATTTTTTTTATCACTCTCGTTGTCTCCCCAAAGAAAATATACGATTTTTATTAGAATACTGAAAAACTATTTAATTCAATGTTCCTATACGGATTATGCTTGTAACAGTGAGCGATGATGATGAATGGATTATGGAATGGGAGTAACTATGTTGTTCACAGTGTAAGTACACCACAAAAATATCGGCCGCAATGTTTTATTTATTAGTCTGTCCGATCTGAAAAAATAAAGAAATTGTGTACTATATTATTTATAGCCATTATACGTCCAATGAATTTATATCCCAAGCATTCGATTCAATCCGATGACGTAATAACTAATAAATAGTCTGTGTATTATACTCCAAAGTTTTCAGTATATATACTTAAATATATTTTTTATAATAAAAGAGTCACCAAACATATAAAGATCTTATAGGTATATTTTTTTTAACAGAGGTTAAAAAACCTTATAAAAAATAGATATTGTTTATAATTTTGTACACTTGTATAGTACAAACATTTTTGTTAATACTAATAATTTAAACTACACCCGTACAACCGTACCGTTTTTTATTAAAATAGAAAAATAAGACTAACACATAATAAGACATTAAATATACATACATATCTGCTTAGTGTATACGTTTTATATTGCTATAATCTCGGTGATTATAAACATTTTTTTTTTATCTTTAAAGAATAATATGGTTGTGTTTAATATTTTTACTATATAATGTACCTATTTGAATGGTAGTACGAAGGCGTGTAGAGAGAATAAAAAGTTAATGCCAGAGCAGAATGGAGAAAGAGAATAAGAGTAGGTAGCCAATCCCTTTTGAGAAAAATAAGAAGATTAGTGTCATTTACAAGTTTAAAATAAAACTGCATGTTAATGAATCGTAGACCCTAAGAATATCTTTTGTACAACGGTAAAACTAGATTATAAACTGGTTATAATAATTATGGTAATAAAGTATATATTGTTCTACCAGAATTTGTTATTGTGTTCCTCGTTTTTTATTTTAGCTTCGATGCTAAAATGAATAACACGTATATCTTTAATAATAATTAAAGTTAACCTTAAAGAATAATTTAAGTTAGTCTTTAGTATAACTTACAATCGAGTGTCTAGTATTTTGAGTCATTAAAAATAACAAAAAATGGATTTTTTTTATGATTTCATTTTGACATTATTTAACTTTGTAGAAATAAAAAAGACTATAGATGTTTGGATATTTTTCATTAATGACCTGAATACTGTACAACTACAAATCAGGAAAAAAACTACTCATTACTCCCATCCATAAGGGAAAGAAAGTTTTCCTGGTATTTTTTTTTGCATAAAGCTCGATTGACAACAATTATTTCTAACCAAAGGTTTGCATCAAATCGTTTTTTCATGGAAGCGATTGTATCGTATTTTAAATTTATCACTTCCTTTGAACTTGTGTTTTCATGAAAGCGATTGTACCGTTTTTAAATTTATTACTTCCTTTGAACTTGTAGTTGCTTACAAACGGTTTACCTTCTTGACATCACTGCTCTAGATGTTTCAAGCCTAAGGGTGAACATATATGGACGACTGTCATTATATGTTCCACGCTCTCCTCTTTATTTCCTCCAACAATTATGATAATTTCTTGATTTGCTCCGATTTCCAAGCTTGCCTTCTTGCTCTCTCCTTCAATCCTTTTAGTTCTACAATGTTACTTCTTATCCTCAACATTAGATCTCTTCTGTGCCGTATTCTGTCACCACCTTTGGCAAAATACTTTAGTTTCTTTGGGTCCCACGTCACTCTAGGATCATTGGTAACAAGACTCATGGCTTTACCACACCCTATTCTGACAGTAATTGTATTGATATTCTAACAATAAAACAACCTTACAAGCTTGACAGGGCAAATGATCCTCCCCCTCCCGACTTCTCCCTTTGGCATCGTTCGATTTGCCCTTTTATCCCTCGCAGTCCACGGTTTCAAGGTCTCCATCTTTCACACAGAGCAATTTCTTTCTTTGCCTGTTTAAGATTTGGACACAACCTTCTTCCAGCTCTCTATTTCCTCATCTCTATCAACTCTTCTCCACACTGCACCTTGCATAATTTACCATTCATTTTTGATTTTCCTCATTGCTCCACTCTCTCTCTCTCTCCACAGAAATAACCTCTATAACTTTTTATTTTCTACGGGTATTAATGACCCTAACCCGTACAATATACTTACTTCCGTTCCGTTCCTATCATTCAATCCATCCTCAAGTGTATCCTTGACGCTGGGTCTGTTATCTAATTAAGAAACTATCATTAACAAGCGTATTATGTATTTTGCTTTATTTATTTTCGTTGTATATGTTGCTCTTATTTTAGATTGTATCTATAATTATAATTGAAACCATGTAATCGCTGAGCAGTAATATTTTTCAATAAAGGCTACATAAAAAAAAATGTATTATTACATCGTGTTTTATTAGTATTCCAATTTCTAATCAAAACACAAAACATTTATTTACATCAACAATTATATAAGTTATAGAATAACACATGTATATTAGTAATAATAATAGTAGAAGTTTAATTTAATCATAAAAAGTCATCAGAATTAGAGGATAAAGTTGTGTCGGTGCTTTCAGCCGATGATATAGAACCTGGATAACGTCCTGGTCCTGATATTGTACATCATAGCTCGATGGATTCCGGGCCTTTCCAAGTTACTCCTAGTCTTATCATATTGTAGAATTTGATCACGCTCAACAGACTCAGTACCTGTAAACATACAAATATGTACAAGTTTATTAATTATTGGGCATTATTTACGAATAAGATCAGACCGACCATTCATATTAAAGTAACAAGATGAAACTTAAATAAGTGTTTTGAATAATTACACAAACGTGTTAAGCTAATCAAATTTCAATAATTTTTAGTTATTGGTGCATTTTGTGTATAATTTGTTATCAAGCTTATTTTATATTTTTGATGATAAGTGATAACTATAGTAATATTTTTTAACAGTAAATCAATACAGGCCAATTCTCAAAACCATTACTGTGAAATGTTTACTACTTAAATAACCATGATGATTTACACTCTCTTTAATTTAGTTAACAGTTCTAATATAAGGCCCCAAGGTTCATCACTATATTATCTCTACTACCAAAGTGTAATTACATTGCTACAAATCTAATCGATTTTTTCGACCTTTGATTATTTTAAGCGGATTTTTTACTTTTTTATGCCATACAAATATAAATATGTAAATCGGATTATATTTTGTTGTAATTACTCATATATACACTCTAATTAGTCTAGTAAGTTTGTTTTTTGTTTGGCCGTTATTAGATAAATGGCTTTGGCAATTTTAGAACGTGATTGATCTACAGTTGAATAAGAAATCAGGTGTTCAATTGCTCTGTTGTGTATTTACAATGTTGAAAATTTAGGATTTATTATTTACACGTGACACGTCCCTTACTGTGGCAGATCGACGTACCTTTTGTTACTTTATACGCCATTAGTGTGTTCAATAGTCGGGGGTATAGATATATGCGGTATGGTTTCTAAACACAGTTCGTGGAAGAATTCAACTAGAGTTTCCTAAAGAACGTTTCTTTTTATGTCACGGTAGTCTGTAAAATCTTATTTCTTTTGTGTACATAAAACATTGGTATAATATAATTTGTTGAGCTTTTAATCTTTTGATTCTCTATAACCAAAGAGATAATTAAGAAGTCGTGTTTACAGAGAAGCAAAGGACAATTCAATTTTGTATTTATTAAAATTCGAATATTTTGTTTATATATAACAATTGTATAAATAAAAAATATATAATTTTTACACTATTTAATGACTTGTACTTAGTATTTAAAGCTGCGGTAGATTTTGTATTTTAAAATAAATATGTATGTGTACTTAATTGACATATTATACTTCCAAAGCACAATGCCATTTTATTTTACTTATGATTATTTTTTGAACTGAAGATTAAATCTGTGAGCTCTGAGGAAAATGAACCATAGATGATTTATAATTCATTAGGGTTTAAAAATTTTACTGTGATAGAAATAATTGAGGACTGTCATTCAACGTCATTGTAATATTTATAATAATAATAATGTGTGTGAATTCTATAATGCATTAACTATTTTAAAGTCGTATTAGAGATAATAGTTAATTTTTTATTATGACGGATTTTTTTCAGGCTGTGATACTAAATGTATTATGAATTATGTAAAAGTTTAAATCGGGCACCTGGTGCTTTTTGGCGATTCCAAAGGTTTCTTCGCTTAATATTTTATTTATTGCTAAGGTATAACATCGTCATTTAATGCATTTCAGTTGTAGTTAAGAATATTATTAAAAAATTATGAATAATTCCTTTCAATTTTATATTAATATTCTTGGGATAAGCTAGTTGGAAACATTTTTATAAAAAATATTAAAATACCGCGTGCCATCACGACTGTGCAGAATGCAGACTTAAAAGTAAGAATTTTTACTTGTCTTAAACTTAATTTATATTTACAAAGAAATACATTTTTTCCACTTTTCGGGAATTACTTGTTACTAATTTTCAAAATTGTTTATAATATTTTTCAAATAGGTACATTTTAATATTAGTTTTTTTAAAATATTATTCAACAACATAAATATTTAGTTACATTGTTAATACATACAAGAAATAGAGTACAACACTTAGGGTTTCGATAACTTTATTTTTGGAAATATTTAATTGTCTTGTGTATTTCAGTTAGAGAACTTGTTAGTTAATTGCGCAGTGGTAATGTGGTTCAAACGGTAATGAAAAACATGCTAAAATGTATACTATTTGGAGTTTAGTCTGTACCGTGGCTTGTTGTAACTAAGGAAATTTACGGAACGCTTGGCCTCGGGGGAAATAGGTAACATAAGCTTTCGGTTTAATACGGTGAGTATTTAGATGGAATTAATGGGAGTCGGATAAGTCGGCCACGCTGAATGCCAAGACCATATTATTATGGGTCGCTAAAAATTCATCTAGTAAGTATTGGCTTTGCTTACACACGGACGTGGGTCGTATAAAACTTAAAAAGTTTGCTCGAGCAACACATAAATATTTTTGTTTGTTTAGTTACGCGTGCACTGTTGGGATGGTAATGAAGTATACTAAATTATTATAATGTAATTAAAAAGTGTAATATTAGCTTACTGCAATAGATCAATTAGTCAATGAGATTGTTTGGCTTATTACTTAATAATAATAATGCTTGCATTACATTTAAACTTTAAACTTTGTGAACATAGTGATTGACTTACTAGCTGATTCGTATACAGATAGATTAACATTTTTTTTTTAGTAGGCTCTCTGACACAAAAATGCGTACATTTATAAATAATTTATGCAAAAGAGCAGGTAGAATTGAAAAATGGGTCATGTGATGAGTAGAAAAATATGTGATCGGAGAGTTGAAAAGAGTCAACAGTGGTGTTATGTTTCCATTTAAAGCAATCTTATTAAGAAAACAAATTATAGTGCAAAGCTGTGATAATGTTACGGCCCTATATATTTTAACTCTATGGGTTAGTTAGTTAGTACTAGCCATCAGGTTGTAAGTAAGCTGGCTTGATATTTGCTGAAAAGTTGTTATAAATAAATACAACTCTTAAGTAGAGATACTGTTCGAGATACTGTTGGATCACGTCTGAAATTGATCAGCGGTACTGCAAAAGTAAATTTAATAGAAACTACTATACATTTATTGAAAATTAGCATAAAAGTATGGCTGTCGAGTAGCTGAATGGTTAAATCAAAAACCCAGTAAACGGGAGATCTGGGGTCAGTTCCCGCCTACGTGCAAAAAGTTTTCAGCACTTTTTCAGTTTCTTTACTTCCATAACGCCTACTTTCGGTTACTTCTACTTCCGTAACGCTTTCAGGTCTTAGCGCAGCATACGAAGTTTCACTTCATAAACGATTATAGTGACTACATGATGTTTAAACTTTACATCATTTGGCTATTAGTCTTAAAACAATATCAAGACTCAGGATGAAAAGTTTTGATATTACCCAAATCACTTTTGAAACTTTCGCACAAGTAAATATTATACTCTAGCAGCGAAGAGAAAAATAATAGCTTGTTAACTATAATTTGTGTAAAATCATAAGTATACAAAAATAATACTAGCTACCTCCTACGCGTAGGCTTTATGCAATGAAGGTTGAAATTTGTGTAGTCACAGAAAAAGAAATATCGTTTTCAAAGAATTCACATCACCAACAAGAAGATATTCTGCACAATTACGTATAAGACTGGGATTGGCTATGTTTACCACCACACGATATGTCTAATTGAATAAGTTTTTCAGAATATAGTAATACTTACTTGCCGTAATATAGATTCTATTTAGAAAAATAAATATTGTTTGCCCGAAAAATACTTTAAAAGTACGTACCTATGATTTGGGCTACGCTGTGATTTTGTTGATGAAGACTTACTAAAACTGTTGTGAGCCAAGATGTTGTTATATGTTTTAGAATATTAAACTTAAGCTAGAATAAAAAATAGAATATTTAATAAAATAAAAAAGCTTTTAAAAAAAATGTTTTTACCAACCCATTTTTATATCATCCTACTTTTTAGGAGTTCAAGGGATTTATTTAAAAAAAAAAAAAATGTGGCACATCGATTCATATGTTTTTGGGGCCGCTGAAATAAAATATTATACTATTGAATATTTATTTACAAAACAAAAACATTTGTAATTAAATTAATAACTAAAAATGTTATTTAATATTACATATTGAGTTTATATTGCTTATACATATTTGTATTAAATTTATTAAGATATTAGGAAACGTAATATTTGGCGCAAAACAATCATTTTATTATCAATTATAAAAAAAAATATGGTTAGATAATTTAACTATTGTATTCATATTTGATTAATTATACGTATATAACATTGACTATATTTTAAGTCTATAATATCCCTGTGTAATCAAAATTAAAAACCAAATCATTGTGGTCAAAGTTGAGAAACTATTAAAATCTCGCATTGCTATTACCCTTTGACGGATACAGCACAAAATAGTAACATGCCGTTTTAGGAACAATGCGCTGTTCCCAAATAAATACTTAAGTGTCAAAAAATGTTTTTCTACAAATAAAAAATATATATGTAATAGGTCACAGCTAAACACGGTATGTGAGCAACATGTGTAAACAACTTAACGTCTTGCCGCACCACGCACGGAAGTTATAAAATTGCATACCCGAGACGCCGTCCTTAAAAATAATGACGAGTTGTAATAGATTTCGTCATATTATAATTATTGTTGCGAGCAGTGTTGGAGAATTTATTTAAATAAACGCTTAGATTGATCGATAAACAAAATATTGCTTTGGTTTTTATAAATCTGCCTCTGCTTCTTTTCGAGTCATTGAACGCGCGACATTGCGAAATAAAGGAAACGTTTCCACCCTATCTGAGAAAAATAGTAAATTATATTTTCTTGGGATTAACTATACATCGTTATTAATATGTTAAAAGAATGTCCTATAAAAGTCTGAAAATGATTAGACTATTTTTAAAAAGGTTATTAAAAGATTGGGTAAACTTTTCAAATTTTGATCCAATTAAGTACTTCTCAGATATAATAAGAAGTCGGTCTAGTGATTTAAGAGATATCCAGACTAAACAAAATAAAAACCCACTATTTTGAAAACAATATCTTAAGCTCTGCGTTAAATCTAAAAAGAAATCATATTTTTGATAGCTAATTTAAC